ATCCAACTCAAGTCACCAGGTTCATAGCGCAGTGTGTTCACCACTGTGGCTGCCATGCCACCCCTGTTCTCATTTATCCAATACATATTTCAGAATTACATTTTAGGATGCGATATGAATACCTATACGGTCGTAAATAATTGTTTGTGTTCATTATCTAATGAGAATAAACACACAATGACAGCCCACTGGCTACCAACAAATATTCGTCCATGAAGCCATCCATATACATAGACACGGACACAATTTCCACCGAGAAGATGGGTACACACTGAGCAATCATTGGAAGGACGTCAATAAGTCCTAACTGGCTGTTTTGTTTCCATCCTACCTTCCGATGTTAGTAGTTATTTTCGACTCGCTGGTTTTACGTGAACAGGTTAAATGTCTCACTAACACAGCCACCGTCGCTCGTGTCCTCGATGTGGCGGTGGTGGCTCTGCGATCTTACATTGACATGCTAATCTCTTACATTGACATGCTAATCTCTCACAATACAATGGCCACCTCCGCACCGTCGTCGTGGAGGTAGCTCTCCAATCTTACATTGACATGCAAATTTCTCACTTTAACGTCACTAGCCCCACCCACTTCGTTTATGACCCTTGGGCTACACCTATTTCAAACCTTTTAAAACAGCCTGCCTCAGCAGCTTTCCCACTCTTTTTTTCTCCTGATGACGATTGCTTGTGTTGCGATCAAAACGTCGTAGCTTTTTGTTATTTTTTTCTTTGAACCTATCTACGTGACTTTACCGAAAAACCCAAGAATATGTCTCAACAGCGTGACGGAGATCACGTGACGTGAGGGTTCTGCCTTTGCAGTGCGGGTTGTGAGTTGACACTGAGGAGGGGGGAGGAGGCGCCTCGGCCCCCCATGTGGAGTGACGTCACCTGCTCATGATTATTAATGAGGGGGGCTGTTCGATGTGGAGTGACGTCACCTGGTCATGATTATTAATGAGGGGGGCTGTTCGATGTGGAGTGACGTCACCTGGTCATGATTATTAATGAGGGGGGCTGTTCGATGTGGAGTGACGTCACCTGGTCATGATTATTAATGAGGGGGGCTGTTCGATGTGGAGTGACGTCACCTGGTCATGATTATTAATGAGGGGGGCTGTTCGATGTGGAGTGACGTCACCTGGTCATGATTATTAATGAGGGGGACTGTTCGATGTGGAGTGACGTCACCTGGTCATGATTATTAATGAGGGGGGCTGTTCGATGTGGAGTGACGTCACCTGGTCATGATTATTAATGAGGGGGGCTGTTCGATGTGGAGTGACGTAACCTGGTCATGATTATTAATGAGGGGGACTGTTCGATGTGGAGTGACGTCACCTGGTCATGATTATTAATGAGGGGGGCTGTTCGATGTGGAGTGACGTCACCTGGTCATGATTATTGAGGGGGGCTGTTCGATGTGGAGTGACGTCACCTGGTCATGATTATTAATGAGGGGGGCTGTTCGATGTGGAGTGACGTCACCTTCTAATGAATATTAATGAGGGGGGCTGTTCGATGTGGAGTGACGTCACCTGGTCATGATTATTAATGAGGGGGGCTGTTCGATGTGGAGTGACGTCACCTGATCATGATTATTAATGAGGGGGGCTGTTCGATGTGGAGTGACGTCACCTGGTCATGATTATTAATGAGGGGGGCTGTTCGATGTGGAGTGACGTCACCTGGTCATGATTATTAATGAGGGGGACTGTTCGATGTGGAGTGACGTCACCTGGTCATGATTATTAATGAGGGGGGCTGTTCGATGTGGAGTGACGTCACCTGGTCATGATTATTAATGAGGGGGGCTGTTCGATGTGGAGTGACGTAACCTGGTCATGATTATTAATGAGGGGGACTGTTCGATGTGGAGTGACGTCACCTGGTCATGATTATTAATGAGGGGGGCTGTTCGATGTGGAGTGACGTCACCTGGTCATGATTATTAATGAGGGGGGCTGTTCGATGTGGAGTGACGTCACCTGGTCATGATTATTAATGAGGGGGGCTGTTCGATGTGGAGTGACGTCACCTTCTAATGAATATTAATGAGGGGGGCTGTTCGATGTGGAGTGACGTCACCTGGTCATGATTATTAATGAGGGGGGCTGTTCGATGTGGAGTGACGTCACCTGATCATGATTATTAATGAGGGGGGCTGTTCGATGTGGAGTGACGTCACCTGGTCATGATTATTAATGAGGGGGGCTGTTCGATGTGGAGTGACGTCACCTTCTAATGAATATTAATGAGGGGGGCTGTTCGATGTGGAGTGACGTCACATTCTAATGAATATTAATGAGGGGGGTTCTCCATGCGGAGTGACGTCACCCGCTCATGATTATTAATGAGGGGCGGGTCCATGTGGAGAGCATCACCTGTTCATGATTATTGATGAGGGGGGCTGGTCGACGTGGAGTGCCGTCACGCGCGTTACACACTGACATTATTGGGTAAATATAGTAGTAAATAACTAAAAAGAAAGTGCTCATTGTAGTGGTTGTTTATTTACACTGATTGCCCCAGAGGTCTTTTTAATGTTTGAATATTTGCCAAAATGCATTCTTCCCTTTAAAACCAGTTGGTTCACGAGAAAGTATGTCAAAAAGGGTGTGTTAAGCCTTCAAGATTGTTTATAATTCATGGAATACCAGAGCAATGTGTTTTCAGGTGTGAATGAATCGTGGATTCATGGTTGACAAAATGTTGACATTTAAATTTCAAGCCCAGGATTAATGAACAAAAAAAATCAGCCTTTAAAAAAAAACCCACACAGACCCACTGGGACTGGTGGACACAGTTGGCTTTGTCCAAAATGTTAGAGTTAAAGCCCGATAGAACGAGAACGTCAGCGGACATGAATAACACCCACGTTATAGGCCATACCCACGTTATATCAACATGCACTCTGGAAGATTTCTGAACTGCACGAGTGTTATTTACAGCACAGCGCCATAGCCCCCAATACGTAACCAATTTGTGAGATGCGTGGTCGAAAAAATGGCACGAGACGTGTACTTTAGTTATCAATAGGTCCGGTAACGCAAACTCACAAGTGAAATCCTGGCCGTGCTTTCCTCTGCAGGCATATTATACAACAATGCTGTGGCGATAATAATAATAAGTATTACTCTGCTGCGAATGTAATCTTAAACATTCAACAACGTAGTAAGAGCGTCATCAGAAAAGCCCTGCTTCGGATCTTTGTCCCAATGCTGCGCAATTCGTCACCACGTTGCCTCGCATGCAGCTTCGATCATCGCCACCTGGTTAGCATGAAGTTAAAGGGTTTGTTGGGGGACATGCCTTGACCCGTGGTCATAGGGGCCGTCCATAAATGACGTCACGCACCTAGGGGGGGGGGGGTCAGACATTTGTGACGATGTGTGACGGGGGGGGGGTTGAGAAATGTGACGTCACATCAAAATGCACAACTTTAAATAAATATAGACAACACGTTCTACTTAATTAAATATACTTTTTTTTAATAAATGTTTCCTCCTACAACATCAGAGTGCAGCGGCACATTAAATACGCACTACAATGTCAATAGTTTAAAGCGGTTTGAAGCATGTAAAAAAATTTGTGGCGTAATATTTGAGGGGGGTTCTGACTTTTTGTAACGCCGTGTGACGAGGGGGGGGGGTCAAAAATCGTCCAAAATCACGTGACGTCATTTATGGACGGCCCCATAATGAGCCCCGTTAGAATTGGGCTTTTACCGTATAACGAACGTTGCAGAATACTTGTGTGTTGGTAAACTGCACAACAGTTGCCACCGCCCTTGCAAAATCGAATGGACTCCTCCCACATATTGGTCACGAGCCAAAGTGCAGACCAAGTCCTGTCTGTCACACTGAGTGGAAACCGCAGTTTTTTATAGACTCAAAGCTTTTTTTTCTTCTTGGTTCTTTCGGTAAAGTCACGTAGAATGGAAATAATAAAATAATAAAAATATTATATAATTCTCACGACGTTTCGGCCACAACGCAAGCAGCCGAAACGTCGTGAGAATTATTTTATTATGTTTTATTTGTATTATTTATTATTTCCATTCTACGTGACTTTACCGAAAGAACCAAGAAGATGAATCCCTGCAGTTACGAAAGCTTTAAATCGAGACTCAAAGCTGTCAAGGCATGCAATGTTCAGATGGAAGAACAACCTGCATGTGGGCGGTTCCATGGTTCTGGGTGTACTGAGGCAATTAATGCATAAACAGACACTTGAAAGATTTATGGTGAAATGATGCAGTGACTTCTTTACTTGGGCGTAGTATTAATTATTTATATGGCAGAAATGCTCATAAACGCTGTCGTATTGGATGTACTCAGATTAACTGATTCATCCCACACTCGGATGTTGATTGTACAGGTAGGAACAACAGGTTCCACACTGCCCACCAGGGATTATTTGTCTGTCTGTCGTGCACGAATGCGCTGTCCAACCAATTCACTGCCCATTCCGAAGGAACGTGTTTTTAATTATTGTATAAAAGCTGTATTTGACAAACTAAAAATAATTACCTTAAAAATTGTATTTCAAAACGTGTTAGGATAATGTTTGAAATGTTGACTGAGGTTGCCTAATTCTTGGAACTGCCCTGAATTGGGTACTTTATAGTTCAAGTTCATTTATTAGGTATAGCCCGGTGAGCCATTCGGCTCTTGAATAGGGTGCAAAACTAAAACATGAACAAAAAAACATCTTAAAGTGAATATGTGACTGAGTGCAAACAGAACATCCGAGAAAAGACAGCAAAATATTGCAGAAAAAAACACCGTACACCAACGCTGTGTGCAAAAATCCCAGTGGGATGCAAGTCAAACAACAACAACAACCACGAGACAACTTAGATTAAGGCCATCAGTCTAACTCTGTACTATAAAGAGCCAGGTGTGACTCTTAGGACATATGAGTTGAATGAGGGATTGCAGGGTGATTCACATCACATGTATGGAGTCAACACAATTAATACAAATCTCATACACGTTTAATTGCTTAAATCGACACCTTTATTTGTGCATCGCTTTGAAACGTTTCACATGACACAGTACTTCCATTAAATTTCCACACAATTCCCAATATCAATTGCATAATTAAAATATGTTTTCCACTTCTAAGATCGCCATTTATGTATCATTACCCAATGCAATTAAACACTAAAATCACCTGTTATTATGCAATATTTCCGATGAATTTCCCCCCAAAAAAGTTAAGTAAAGCACAATTTTGTTGGCCCCAAAGTGAGAGTGCATTGTCATTTTGTCACCTATGAGCTACCTACATAATCCAAAGCCTTCTAAATCCAGCATCTATCATATTCCCATGGTCTAGTGCAGTGGTTCTCAACCCATGAGCTGGACCCCCCCCCCCCCCGGCCTTCCACGGGGCGTGGCGGAGGAGAGAAGGAGATAATTGCATCCTGCGGCATGGATACCGTGCAGGAAAAAAATATTCTCATGCGAGCCACAGAACATGAATATACATTAACACCACGGTGACTAAGAGGCATGGACATGTGATCAATCTGTGTATTGTGACATGTGATCAATCTGTGTATTGTGGCCTTAGTAACCTGGGCAGGTTGGGGGGAGGGGGTCATGGAGACTGGATGGGCAGGGGACATAAGGATCAGAGGCCTTAATTGGGGGGGGGGGGGTTGCTATACAAAAAAGATTGAGAACCGCTGGACTAGTCGTATATACACCAGGTAATCTGTATCAGTTGTATGCCAATGGGCGCGTGGAAGCTGCATGCACAGCGGTCTAAGGGCGGCTGCAGCGGGTGACTTTGCAGGCGCATTTTGTCACGAATGGGTAGGCAATATTAATCTCAGTGTTATCGCCGCAGATCAGGGTCACATCCCTATGCTCCGTGTTCGCCTCCTGACAGCAGTTGCACGTGTGCATCATCGAGTTGGTCTTAGATGAGTAGCTGATGGAAACACAAACAAAAATGCATACACCAACAAACAAAAAAAAATTACATCATTGACAGACATTAGCAAGTGAAAATGCCTAATTTTTCTACGGGCTTTTGGATCACTCCTATTTGTGGTGTGTAAATGTAAACTGCTGGTAGTAGGCCCTCAACCAGATGGAGCTCTAGAGTCCCATTAATGGGCATTTAGCTTGCTCTTCAACGATGCCGAGACGTCTTTGAAGACGTGAGTGTACCCACACTTTAACCCATCACACATGACCTGCCGATCAACTGAACCATGGTGTAACAATTTACACCGCTGGATGAGAATTGGCAGGAGAGGTTTAAGAAACTTTCCCGTTATTTAATCCGCCACGCTGGGAGATCGCACCGGCGGCTGGATCACACGTCTAGTGTGCTGGCCGTTAGACCACGGCAGCGTCCGTGAAAGTACAATCACTCCTCGCTGATGATGTATGTGTACGTGATATGTATCTGCGGCCTTACACAGAAGATGTTGGGCATGCCCCCTCACACACGATCACCGGCATCGGCTCCATACTCCTGCAGCCGTCGCGTTCGATCGTCTCGTTGGAAACGATTGCTTTGCAAACACCACTTGATGCTTCACCTGGGAAAGGAAAACAAACACAAATTACGTGAAAAACACAGTAGAATAAGAGAGCATTTATTTTATCGGAGTAGAAACATGGAAAACAATGGAAGCTCATGCTAATAATAACTTGGTACTTACATTCTTTACAGCAGCCATCTTTAGTCGGGCGTATTGTACCCTGCAAGGAACAGCAAATGTAACATTTGTTACATTTTCAATATAAGCCAGAGGAATTTGCTCTAGCAAAATAAATGTGTCCACATAAATACATAAATACACAAATTGGCATACAGATTAGCCACGCAAATCTTCCAACAACACACACTTTGGAACAGGGATTAATTTAAACGATACATTGTGTAACATAATGTGAAAAGTATTTTGTTGCCAATGTTTCCCAGAACTATACAGATCTGAGAAATTGGTGATTGTAAGCTGTGTGGTAAGTTTGGTCATAACTGGCTTATGAGTTTTGCAGATTTTGTTATAGCATATGAAGTTTATATATATATGGATGGACAGGGCATAATATTTCAAGTATAGAGTCACCAAGCACGGGCAATTGTTAGTAGAAGGTTTCCTGCACCTCTGAATCTCATGAAAACTGAGCGCGCTACAATTACATGCATTTAGAAACAGTGCGTTTCGAGTATTTGGCTGCTATAAATGTCCACATGGTAAACCACTTCGTTGAGCTATCATTTGTGGCCAGGTCGCTTCTGAAAAAATATATATCTATATAGCTCAGTGTGCCTTACCTGCTAAAATAATAATAAAAGTTTGATATATGTATTTATTAGTTTCCTCAGTACATGAACGGCCTTTTTTGTTAATCCACTGCTGGATGAGAGCCTCCCCATGCTTTGTGCCGGTCAGTGCAGCTTGGTGTAGGCAGAGTGGGTGTAGGACAAAGTATTTTGCTGCCCATAGCACCTATTACACCCGTTCTTCACGCATGGCGGACTCCAATCCGAGCAATATCCTGGGTTAATTCTACTTTGCTTATGAGATGTCATGAGATCAGGGGCATTCCAGATGATTTAATCACAGGCATCCTCAGTAAAAGAAAACGGGAGGTTATTTTGCAATGCCCACATTGTTAACCCACAATGTAGATCAGGTGAGGAATACGACACCTTGGCTTCACTTACATCTTTACATGTGTCGGGGTCGAAGTCTGGGCACGTGATGCTTGCCACAGTCGTCATTAGAATCCCGGTATACATACGTTCACACGTGTACTTCGTGCAGTTGTCTGGAGACCAACTTTCTGAAGGCTGCATGACATAAAAAAAGGGATCTTGTAAAACAGTAATTTTAGTGAGTCATCAATGTTATTATCAATTAAATGTCTTTTACAGAGAATTCGAGTCCCCTGAATGGCTAAATGCATTACATGAATTATCAATGTGGGGGCAATTTGGCTGGGTCATATTTCTCATGAATAAATGGTAGTGGGAGTTTTGCCAGGATCCCAGGGTGAACATTACAAAGCTCTTATCAAAGAGCATCACGGGATCTTTAAACTGTCCACGGGGTACACAGAGCTTATGGCTTACCACCTTTTCCTAGATACGGCACTTTCCAGAGAAGACCACCGTCCCAATCCGAATAATTTACAATTGTAACGATTACAATGTGAATGGATAAAGCATTTAATTACAACCACACCTCGAGTTGCTGCACATAGAAGAGCAAGCCATGTGTGATATTAGATCACGTTAAAAGGTAAACAATGTTTTTTTACGAACGTGATTGAGGAACATTGGAATAGATGGGGGTGCGTGAAAATAATTGAATTACTGATAAGTTCGATGGACAGATATTGTAGGTCATAAACTAAATCTTACGTCTCGACTTGAAGAGAGAGATAATATGGAGTATCTGGTGAAGGGCAATGCCCCGTTAAACGGAGGTTGACTGGGGTCTTTTGCAATATTCGCTGAAAGGGACCTTTGAAGCATCTAAAGCCACTCGCCCTCAGTGACACTAAAACTGCATTCCTTGATGGTTACACATTTAAAATGCTACCAAAGCTTAAAGCAGTGAACATCTTTAGATCTCCTCAAACTGTAGGGGAATTTCGATGTGGATAACACGTGACATTTTTTGGGACGTTGATATGTTAGAAGCGGTCTTTCCCTTTTAAGCATCCAAATTTATTTTTTCTGGTATACCATCAGAAATAGAATGTCACGTGTACACGTGAACTATTAACCTATTGATTTATTTAGATTCAAGCAGTGTTCTTAAACTCATATTCTCACTAGATATGCCTGAAAACACAAATATATTCACAAAGAGAAGCTACAGTAGTAACACGGGCTTTCATTACGTTGCCTGTTCTCATGAAATTGTCAGAGACGGTGCATTAAATATCTCCCTCGTTTATAATGAAAGACAACTTAAACGGACCCTGCTATAAATCACTTCCCTTCATCTGTCTCTGCAGAATGTAACAGGTGAGCAGATTACAAGGTTAATGGCCAAGCACCTGCAGGATGATGTTGGACTGCTGAGGAAGATTAATAATGCATTTCGTCTGGTTGCAGGTTCCACAGCACGTTCCGCTATTTTCCACATATTCATAGCCCTGAAGAGAAAAACAATACATAATTAATCACTTTGAGGGAATAGGGAAAAAAACATCCCAGCTCTGTCAGCCTTAAAGCATAAGTCTTAAATGTGCAATGTCGTTGTATACAAGACTTAAGTAATATGCAAACCGTTTCACATACTGGCTGTCAAGTTGATATGTATAAGATTTGAAACAATTTCATATGCTCCAATATATCAAGACACAGAAATAATGTACTTTGTTTGAACTGAAGTTGTGTTTCGATTAAAAGCTTTCGTGACTGCAGGGATTCATATTCTTCGTTCTTTTATTATTTCCCTTCTACGTGACTTTACCGAAAGAACCAAGAATATGAAGTTGTGTTGTTAGGCCACATTACTTGGACAATACATCGATGGTGCGTGTTTAAAAGGGCGACTCAATACAAACTTTAATTCGATCTACAGATGGCTTCAGCCAAAATGCTTCTGAAATAAATGTAGTCCAACTTTACTAATTCTGGGTCACTGAAAATTAAAATGATGCTTAAAATTGTTGATTGGCTCTAGTTTTCCAGATATACGGCTGGGTCAGTGTATACGACCCTTGACTTGGGAATGGCAGAGGATTAGTGAGTTTTTAAGGGAAGGGATCTCAATTTAAACCAGAAATTACTCAAATACATCTTTGACTGGATCTATGAATAAATCTATGACTGGGTTTGGACAGTACTTGCTTTTTGAGCAAAACAACGAATGATGCAATCTGAACCCGGTATTGTATCATTTAATTGGAACACTGGCGAGTTCAATTCCTGGATGGGGGTTAGCTCAGCCCATCACCCCTCCGGGGTCAATAAACTCGGTACCACTGTGGGGAATTCAACTGTGGTTGTCCTATGCATTAGACTCACCCCTACCAGAAAAATGTGGAATTTCCACCATTGACTCAGGGCCACAAAACAGGAGATGAGCATTGTCTCAGTGCTCAGATGAGCAATAAATCATCTTGGTAAATGATATTGGCATGGCTGTCGACTTGACGAGGCTGTCTATGTGGGTTATGAAATCCCATTGTGATGCAACCCAACGAAATAGGTCTTATCTTTTGGCCTCCACATGATACAGATCTCTAATGTCCAATTGATATTTTATACCCTTTGGTTTTTTCGGTAAAGTCACGTAGGTAAAAAAAATAAAAATAAATTAAATCACGAAGTTTCGGGCGCAACCGCTTAAGTGCAACACACTTAAGTGGTTGTGCTTTCGCTAAGTTGTCCCCACCTGAAGAAGGACGCTTGTGTTGCGCCCAAAACGTCGTGATTTAATTTAAATAAAAATTATTTACCTACGTGACTTTACCGAAAAAAACAAAGAGTATGAATAATTGCAGTCACGAAAACTTCAAATCTAGAATTGATATATATTTCTTTTTATATAAGTTAACGCATTCATTTTAATGGTTTAAGTTTTTTGTTTGCTATTCAATATGTGTGGACACTGAAAACAGCTCACCTATTAAAGAAACATGTCAATATAACAACATTACTCGGTTCCCAGTGTTTTCATGATAAAGTTTGGCCTCCAACTATGAGTCGGTCAATATTTCTAACCTCTCTCTCCACTTTACAGAACAGTCATTACCGGATGGATTGTTCTACTTATATATTTTTTTATAGATTTATGTTTTAAGCCAGCAACATCAACTTGTTTTGTGTTTTTTCCCCATCTCCGTGGATGATGCCTTTAAATGAGTTTCCAGCTGTTAAGTCCTTATTCTGTCAAAATAAATTGTCTGATCTCAGCCAATACCACAGTGGGGAGGAAGGCACTACCACTTTCTGCTGACTGGACGGAGAGAACCACTTTGACCCATCTTGAAACAAAATATTTGAGAGACATATTCTTAGGTTTAACAACTCTGGCACCCCCCCCCCCCCCTCTCAGCCAGTCTACATAACAAAGGCTCAGTCCTGTGTTATGTAGACTAGCCGTAGTCTCAAGCCGCACTAACTTTACCATCATAATAAAAAAGGGGGCCTGTCCTGGCTCATCCCCCCCCTCAACCAGTATAGATACGGGGTAGTATCTCTTGGAATTTCTCATTTACTTGATACAGCAAGCAGTGCTGTGAGGGTCCCACCTGAAGACGGAAGCTTATGTTGCCTCCGAAACGTCGTGATTTTTATTTAATTTTTATTTTATTTTACTTTTATTCATTTTTATTTTTAACCTACGTGACTTTACCGAAAAAAACCTAAGAATATGAATCCTTGCAGTCACGAAAGCTTCAAATCTAGAATTTGAGAGACAGTTTTAGCATGTGGTCCCCACAGACGTTGTTCTTTACTTGTGGGAGTGAAATAAACCCCGCAGAGAAGTTGCCCGTGAGACTTGCAGAGGTCCTTACCAGCGCACACTGCGTGTTGCAGGGCACGGGCGTGCACTCCGGAATGTGAAATTTGGTGACGTCCTTCCCGTGTCCACAAACGCACGTCTCGCACTTATCGGCAGACGGCATGCTCTCCCCAACCTGCGCAAACAGGGCAACGCGCGCCAATGGGCAGACCTTTCATTTCAGTAATGAAAGACAAAAGGTAAAAGGTGGCAGACCTGCAATGCATTGCTATAGAGAGCCGCTTTAGAGGGTATTTTAGTCTACTCTTCCATGCTGACCAGATGTTTTGGAAGACGGGGGAGTACCCACGCTTTACCCCACCACATTTGACCTATCGATTGACCATGGTGCAGTTACACTGCTGAGTGAACAGAAATGGGGAGAAAATTAGCTAACGTGCCCATTGTTGAAACTGCCACGATGGGAGATCAAACCGAGGACCTGTGGATTGCAAGTCCAATGTGCCAACCATTGCACGCGGCACCATCTCCCCTGTAGTATTCTTTCAGCATTGCTATTTAATGTGTCACAAAGTGGTACAGCTTCTCGTCCAAATGCTTATCCAAGGGGGGGGGGGGGATGTGGCTGCTGCTGCTGCAATGATAAAGACATTATATTCAATTCTAAAACACAATTCTATGCCAGAGGTAAAGCCAGGTGTCTCATTCCGCTTCACGTGAGATGTGTGATATGGTATTATTTGGACGCAATAGAAAAGGTTTGCGGTCATTTTAAAGTAATTTTTTGTTTGTTAAAAGTAATGTCATGTGAAGTATTGGATGGGCAAGGGGCACTCAGTATCTTATAACACCAAGGACTATAAACAATTGTACCACTGGATGGACTGAGGCCAAAGGCAAGAATTAAGAGGAAATGACCTACGACCAGAAATACCTCAGTGTTTCTAAATCTCCTCCAACCAGAATATGTATTGAGATTCAGTAAGTAAATAAAGGTCATTATTACATGGTGTCTAACGAGACGTCATACATTATTGGATATTTATCGACGGCAGTTTGATCTTTGTTTGATAACACGATGCAAACGCTTAGTTGAGAGAACATTGTATCCTATGAGCTTAATTTGTCAACGACCATATATTTGCCAAGTCGTTGTTGATTCAGGTCGTATCATATTTCAGAGAGTGTCAGGCTTTCTTGACCTAAAGCTTTCGTGACTGCAGGAATTCCTATTCTTTGGATCTTTCGGTAAAGTCACATAGGTAGGTTGAAAGAAAATAACAAAAAATTACAACACACGCGATCGTCATCAGGAGGAAAAAAAATCGCTTGTGTTGTTATCGAAACGTCGTAGTTTTTTGTTATTTTCTTTCAACCTATCTACGTGACTTTACCGAAAGACCCAAAGAATGTCAGGCTTTCGTTAACATGTTAGGTGTCGCTGTTTTGATTTATTCTCTTGCGTAGATATCTACTCAAGATTTTAGTTTTTTGGCAAATACTTTACCTTTCACATAACTCCAACATTCCAACCACGCATTTCAATCTTCGCAATCTAATTACACGTCTTCAAGACTGGATATAATGCCTCTGTGGGCACCCAGAATTATTACGTCTGGACTGTTAGAGCACTAGGGAAATCCTCGTGTGACACTTACCTCGTAGGTTGATGAGTGAAGCACGCAAACATTTAATTGCACTGCAAGAGAGAAGCAGTCGTCAAAAATTTTACAAAATTATTGTGATAATTCATATATTTAAAAATATAGACACGTATAACATAAAGACACTGATTAGAGACCATGGAAACCATTACACCGCCTACACCCTAATATTGTCAATTTCACCATTGTGCTTAATCCACACTTGGTTGACACTTGTGATAACGCAACCAACTTACCACACTCAGTCAGAGGACAGCAATCTTCCTTATCCATCTTCACCACTGTCTTGTAGCCCACTGGACATACGATGTCTTCAATAATGCAGAGATTACTGTTGCATTCTGGATATGAAAAAATAAATACAATGTTTAGTACTCAATCAATATTTTTTATAGCATTTGTAAAGCATTTAAAAATAAATATGAAATATGCATTGCATTTGACAGTTGTAGTGTTCACACAAATTTTAATGTGTGTACATGTGTGTATTCTATCTATGTATGGGGAGCGGTAGTGTAGGGGTTAGCACGCTGCACTATAAACCCGACCACCCGAGTTTGATTCCCGCTCACGGCGGTAAAGTATGGTCAAACAACCCCCGATGACAGCATAGGAACGAATTCTTTTTAAAAAAAGCATTTGCTGCATACTCTTTGCGTATTTATCAAAATATGGAAATTACATAATTTATGCTATATCTCATTAGTTAAATATAAATTATTTGTTACAATTTAATTTACATGTCTGGCAATTATTGAGAATGACAAATCAACAACAACAACAACAACAGAATCAGTGGCTTCTGAGGAGGCGCAGATCACGGTGTCTCCGGCAAATTCGACGGGACGGAATCTCGGCGGTCAAACTGGGTTCACGCGCCATTTGCCCTGCAGGGCCTGTGACTACACCGTGTTTGCTGGTGTCTCGTACGGCATTGCAGGCGTGTGCAGCAGGCGTCGCTGGGATCCTGCACCTCCGCCAGGTGCATCCCCTGTCCCTTGCACGGCGGTTTGTGCGCCGGCGGGCAGCTGTGGTTGACGCAAACCACAGAGCTGCTGTGCTCGTCGCAAGCGCAGTCCAGGCAGTTGCTGATCCACCTGTCGCCGTACTGTGGTGCACACCGCGTGCGCCCGGCATTGTGTTAGCGTACAGATTCATTGGACGGTATGCGTCTTTGAGACATCTCACCAGCGTGGAAGAGTAGGCCCAAAATATGCTCGAGAGGGGACGTTGAAGGAGTTTTTTTCTTCTTCTACAGCTCCTTAAAATGGAGGCCCTTTCTACAAGCAGTTGGTATCAGCGATCAATTGCAGAGCTGCACATTTACATTCTATCGGTGTCTTGATACGCCTATGCACGTAATAGATTGCATCTTTGTTGAACGAATATGGATGTATGCATGTTTCTTCGTATGCATTTATGCAGCACTTTACGTAAGCTGCCCCTTGAAATTGTATGCATGAAACATATCAATGATGTGTCGAGCTTAATGCATTAAAATGTACAGAGCAATATTGCTGCACAGCTTGAGTTAAAATGACAAAGAATACCTACGGTCAGTTTTTTGTAATTATAAGACTACGTTTCAAAGTAACGTTGCAAATAAAAGGTAAGGCGCTAGTTAAATCATGCTCCAAAAGTTACAAGTAAGTATACTATAGCATTTATTCAAATTACTTATGTCTTCAAGGTCATGTTAAAGTTTACCGCCTGAATGTACAATTTACTCACATCGTGTCATATTTGAAGCATACATTAAACCCTAACGCTTTATTTGGAATGCTGTGTGTGTGCGTCCATATTGCAGATGGATGAAAACCTCAAGGTTTTGTTTTGCATTGCTCATCAATTATCTGTGTTTAGAGATGATCACGTGACCGTGATAAATAAGTAATGTTGTAATCGGTGAGTGCATAGCCGATTGAAGTTGCATTTATTACCTGCTTCGGATATCCATTTGGACCGGTACATCCTATCAAGGATAATCATAGCACAAGAAAATAAAACAAACTTAAGAATGTACACCATCTTTCTCAGTCAAGCACTTAAGGGCCAGATGGCAACCCAATGTGATATTTTCCATTACATTTACAATAGTTCAACGTGATCTGCATATGCATGCTGCATTGGACATTCATTTCTCTATATCATTGGCTTCATAAATATCACACTGCTCATGTGCACTCCATGAAATATGTCTCTATGTAATGACATTTATTTTACGTTTCAGCATGTAAATAGCACACAATTTACACTACAGTTGCTAAGCATTTGGAAGCGCACATTCACCTGTTCCGCTGATACAGTTAGCCTGTTGCGTTTCATCTGTTTCAATGCCATGCTTGCTGTGAACACTCAACATTATTCAGTGAGGAGAGTCCTCCAATTGATAACCCGCATGTATGTTTAATATATCCCAAACGAGCTTCGTTGGAACACTATATAATTCCACCTTTTAAATTTATATATTATTTTTTATTGTTTCTCATCACAGATGGCTACACGACATACTTGATATTTCACTTCTTTCATCCATTTAATCTGCCTACTCTGAACAAAAGCATACTTTGTGGACATTCCATTTTGTGGTTTATCAAGTTTTCCCAGGACACTCCCTCAAATGTGGATAATGTGGGTTTGAAAGATTTGTTGTATATTTTTCCCTATTGTCTAATGAGACAGAGTATCCATTCGGATCTCTCACAGATTAGTAGACTCCTTCATGTGAGAGAACAGCTCACGGTCGTGAACATCACAGAGCTCCCTCTGAGATCCTCTTAAAGTGACCTCTGGTCCGATGCTATACTGTGTTGGCGTGTTTGCTCCTATGGAGTTCTTGGTGTGATATCCTCACCGCAGCTAGCCGTGCAGATGCCCGTCTGGCTGTTGTGGAGTATCGTTCCCTCTGGACAATAGCAGCCCTCGTCCTGCATCCTATTAAGATCCTTAAGCTCCATGTTGTACCTAAGTACACCATGTTATTTTTGTAAAATCACAAACAAAACCGGTAAAAAAAACACATTACTCAAATTGTATTTATGTCTCTAGGTAATCATGTGAGCCAGTAAACAAAGTTTTTTTTATAATAGCACAAATACGATTGCCATACCAATCTGAGATATACAAATATTCCCAATATGTAAGTGTACAATATCTTGTAATAACAATTTTAAATGTCTAATAATTACTATATTACTTACAAAATAAATGAATGCATACTTAAAACAATAATTATCATGTTTAGAAAACTGTCCAGTGTTTAATAATATGTGCACACTTAAACGGGTGCACACTATGAACTTCTTTCGCACCATACGTAGCCAAACATGCTAACCGTACATTGTTTTCTTTTATTATTTTATTATTTCCCTTCTACGTGACTTTACCGAAAGATCCAAGAATATGTACATACTGAGTTTACAAAGTACAAATCATACACCGTGGTGGAAATATTAGGAAGTGAGACATTGTATTAGTGGTAGCGGTAAAGGGATGAAGGATAAAACCTTACCTTGTATCACAAGTGGGTGGAATTGAGGGCCCACAAGCATTGTACACCTTCCCTTTGGGGCACGTGTAGGCTGCAAAGACAAATATCTCTTTAGTGGCCTGACCCATTTCAAATATACAATGTTAGCTCAGAGATATTCTACATTCTATCCTGATGAGAACATGAACTGGGATGAATATTAATTGTAGACACACCCACACACACACAAAGGTCCAATGCTTAGCTTCACCAGGCACGTCTTGAAGGCAGTCAAATTATGGAAGGCCCATACCTCAGTATACACTCATACCTGGGAATCAATAGCAGGTTCTTAGCACAGTGCACTAACAAATGAACCACCGGCCCACATGTTCACACAAACACACACAATACCCTTCCTTGCCAGACAAATATCCACTTCACGGAGGATGGGCTGGAAAGCCAAATACTGAGTGAGTGAACACCACATTCGACACAACAACAACATGTATTTATATTGCACCTTTCAGGACAAAAGCCTTACCAGATACCTCAATATATATGTATTAACTTTAAAACAAATAGAGGAGAAAATCGACAAATAAAACCACATTCTTTGCTGACACATATGTGAGTAAAAGCCTTATGGAATGGATCTGTCTTAAGGCGTGGTTTAAAAATGTACACTGGATTGGCAGGTTTTACTTAGGGTGGAAGATGTTCCAAAGATTAGGAGTTTTGCGTGAAACAGTTCAGCTACTCAAAATGTTGTCGCAGTTGTGTTGTATAATTTTTGGACGCGTTTTCGGGTGAGTGTTAGAGTTATGTGATACCCCACGTAAAAAAACTCCCGTGTGCTGGGAGCTCATAGAACAAAACGTCAGACGTCGTGCCAGACCACGCGCGGTATAACCCGAAAGGGTTCTATCAACAGCACACCACGTAGCATGGATACTGACAGCAGCGGTTGTTGGTGAAATTCCTCCAGTGGATGCAGATGCCACGGTCAAGACACTGGCTGGCGTACGCCTGGATGCTCTGGCATGGAATGTCGTCCTTGCGTGTTGCACACCAGTCGAACTGACATCCCATCATGAACGGTTGTGGGTCAATCACTCGCTTGCATTCCGCAAACACGCTGCAATGTCGGAGAAAGGGCAAGGGGATGAACAGATTACGCGCAGAGTGAAAAAATGTGCGCCTGATACGTCCATCTGCAGGGCAATGCGGCGGAGCCTTCACTGCATGTCAATGTGTATGCTATACTGATATCAATATCTCAAACTCATATCAATAAAGTCAAACTGATATCTGGGCACCATCGAGATCATTGGCAAATGATGCCTCCATAGGCAATGTGTGTGTACAATGTAGGAATTCATTGAACATTATCTGAAAAATGCCTGCATTGCTGCTGTGTGGAGCAGCCTGCATCTTAATAAATAAATAGAAACAGGTCAAGTTACGGCTAAATGTTATCTCATTTAAGCAAACAGTTGTGTTTCTTGTTACCGTAGAAAGTTGGCTACCATTCACTGAATGTGGGTGTTTGTTTGTGTGTTGTTAAGTTTTATTACATTCCAATGATTGCTGTAGATTGATGATGTGTTACATAACCCTGCAAAACGATTTCCTTGGCAATGGATAACCAGATGCAAGCCAATGTCATTTCATCAAAAAGTATGCTTAAGAATAAGAGACACAATATGTTTCATGGAAACATATTGAAATATATGTATGGGTAAAATTATGCGTCGATGCATCACTTACTATCTTACTACTATGTACCCTATAGTAAACCGCTGTAATCTCCACTCCTTCAATTAAGGAAAATCAAAACCACACACACTATATTATGAAACCCTCTCGTGGCTAGCTGGCCTCGACATTGGCATTTCGCTCCTGAGCATATTGCCATTCGCGAGAATAGAATATAAACTTACTATCGATTTTTGAGGTCATAAGTCGCACATCAGTGAGAGGTGGTGCTACCGAGAGCACCGCTTCTCACTGTAGCGCCCAAAAAGAATGGATTCTTGAATCAAATGGAAACCCAGAATACTGATAATTATTAAAATTTCCAGTTTTGCAGGAGGGGAGAATATCATAATACCCCTACATTTAATTCCACCCTTGGACATCAACTTTCCACCTCTTCCTTCTCTTGTATGTATATTGAACTTCTTTTTGCACCGTATGTAGCCAACCGTGCCAATCCGAGGTGCTTTCCCCTTGGTCTCCTTCCTCTGTCTGAAACTCAGATAACTATCTTGGTATTTATATAAATACATAAACATATGGACTGAGTATGCACCAGTCTAAGTGACCATATATGACTATCTTGATTTTAATCTTTCGTGACTGCAGGAATCCATACTCTTTGGTTCTTTCGGTTAAGTCACGTAGGTATAAACAAAAATAAATCACGAAGTTTCGGGCGCAACACAAGCGTCCATCATCAGGTGGGAAAGCAGTGGTCTGCTGCTGAGGCAGACTGTTGTAACCCTTGAGCTACACCCATTTCAAACCTTTTAAAACAGTCTGCCTCAACAGCAGACCATGCTTTCCCACCTGATGATGGACGCCTGTGTTGCGCCCGAAACGTCGTGATTTATTTTATTTTATACCTACGTGACTTTACCGAAAGAACCAAAGAGATATATATATATATGACTATGCCACGTCGGACTTTTCTGCCCTTTCCTTTTGAGCGGTTCTCCTCCCTAACATGCATCTGATGCGTGCGGCATTCCTCAAGCCCTTCTACCTCGCATTCCCCACTACACGTCGCAGCGCACACTCGCGCACTCACTCGCTGCCGATGAGATTGCAGAGTGGGTGAGGAGGGCAGGTAACGTCCGGTGGAGGTGAAGAGCTCGGCTTTGTCTTGCAGGGAGGATATTGCACTTTCCAATCCTGTGCCATATTTATGCAAGACGCGTCGACGACTCCGTTGCGCATTCTGCAATCGTCCTGCCTGTTGTTGGTGCATGTTCCTGTGTCGAATAAAATGAAATACAATATGTTATTGGATATTTTTCACATTCCCTTAGTTTACGCATTCAAGTGTACAATCATTTATTGTTTGAGCTAGCATGAAAAAGTACACGTGGACAGATAAACGAATAATAATGTACAGCCCTTTGTCAATCGACTGCTGGATGATGGCCTACCCACATCTGTTGGTCATGGGGATTGTTTGACCATACTTCACCACACTGGTCAGTGCAGGCAAGGTGAGAGTAGAGGGATTGGCAGGTAAGACGGGTTCAACTATCACATGCCACTAATGTTTTCCTTGGCCAGAAACGTGTCCCAAGTCACGTGTTTCAAAGCACAGTGCGCTAACCATTCCACTCCTCAAAATTATCGTATTGTACATTTTGTAATGACTCAAAATGTTGCATGAAGAAAAAATGATGTATTTCATATTTCATTACACATTATGACTAATTAGAATGAACACATTTGAAAAATATATTTAAAATCTACTTAATATTCACTGAATTACAACAATAACAACAACAAAAACACCTACCACACTGCCCCTGGGTGTTGTTGAAGAAGATCTTGTATGGGAGTGTGATAGAAAATCGCAAGTACTCAAACGTGATGACAGCTTCGATTTCTGGGATATCTACCCGAGTCGATATGCCAGAGCTTGTCACAGTCATTCCATTTTCAGAGTACACAGGAGTGACACCAACTCCGTTAAATGTCACCTGCAAAAAAAAGATATGATGAAATATTTCAACGACAGTTTACTTACTCTATGTAAAATGAAGAACAGCTATTAACACGCATCAAGAAGATTTGCTGGTGATCGCATTACATTGGTGAACTAGGTATGCATGTTCTTACTACATATAGGCTAATAGACAGGATGTTTTAATATGTTTAGTCCAATGACCTACGAACACGAGTTTGCAATTGATCTGCATTTGCAGCAAAACATATTTTCCACATATGTATATAAAAATAAAAATCTAGCCTGATTTTTAAAATAACATTTATAGATATAAAAAAATAACACTGCATTTTTACTTTTGTGAGAAGGTAGCAGTTCTGTGATTGGCTGACCATGACCATGTAAACTGATCCTCAACACCGCATAAATATGGCTACTTTTATGCAAATCTGATCTAAGTTCCTTACGTGGCACGTTAGGAATGGACTACTCTTTTAACAAGTCCTTATGTGCTGTGCAATACATCAATGCACGTGTGTACACCAGCATGTGATGACTGAGTTGGGCCTGTGGGTGGCTGGCAGGGTTATCGATTAACCAGACTTATACATCAGTCACGTGGTTAATGGCGACTCGGTGAAGATTGCTGTGTGTGACACACGTGCTGTTGCATTTTACAGATTTACCACAATAGATGTGTTTGCCCTCGATTTGGAGCATCTGCCCAAGTCCTTCATTTCGAGTGTGCAATACTTATCAGGTTATCTTTCGTCAAGGTTGTCAAAATACTCCAACGTTATAGTTTTTACATGTATAGATATTGATTTGTGTTGTATTTTAATGCATAGATGTCCTTTGTAAATTAGGTCTTTGTCACATGTTTTTGCAAGAGCTTCAGAGACAAGTCCACATCCCACTTCACATCATTTTTAGGAATGGATAGCCACCACTGCACCCCACTGTTTAGTGCAGATTTCCGGATATATTTCTTCTTTCTGATCACCAAGTTGAATTCATGCGACTGATGAAAAATGTTAATTTAAAGCGGCTATATTTCGTGTATAAATAATTGTGTGTCTTATTGAAAATTCACTATTTTGCTGTATTTCGCTTTCACGAACACAACAGAATATCTACGCACACACAATTGCGTCCAGACGTCCCGCGATTGTGCGTGTGGTTTTGCACTTTTTATAGATTCGTGTTTGCATATTTTGAAGACAAAGCAAAGGATTCAGCGTACATGTCATAACATCACATTTCTGGGTGTGATCTACTGCTGTGAGGATAATAAGATTGTGGCTTCATTGAATGAGAACATATCATTGCAGCACTTCCTTTTCATGTTGTGTTGCAAGAGTACATTTTTGAAGATTTCGTGAAGAGATTAAATTCAGCTTCTTCCTTCTGTGAGACCCATGAGGCAAAGTAAAATGTACTAAGTTAACATATCGCTCATGTCCGTGCCTTTGGATTGCTAAACCCAATGTTGAGAAACTCCATGAGTAAGCATTGCATAGCCTAAAATATAATTTTATTTTATATATTGGTATAATTCACGCAAAATCATGAACCTCAATGACATTTGAAAATGCAGAACATGCTGATAAGATGAGCCAAACTTCCTTTACAATCTGACAATATGCTTCGTTGCGCAAGTGGCATACATCTTGGTCAGCTAATTACTAACACTGTCATAATTAATAACACTGTCATAATTCAAACAATCACACGTGGTCTGAACAACGCAACTCAGGTTGGGCAATCAGGCGTACTCGTAAATCGATTGCTTATCATCAACAATTTATGAAACAAGTTCCACAATTTCTTACAAATCAATACTTCTGTAAGACTAATATGTAAAATGTCCTTGATAGAATGCACAGTGTTGCTACATGAGACCAGAACCGATGTTTAGAACATCAACGAAAAACTATCTTAAATGCAGCGGAGGAAATGCGCTTCAAGGATGACACAAGGGAAGGACAAGACGTAACATAACAATTAGAATGATTTTTATATGTATAATTACGGCAAGCGTCCAGTGAGAGAATGCTTTAGTTTATGAAGGTTATTTTAAAGTAAATGTTGTCAATGCTACACTCTGCTGTCACAGGTGTGCAGCGTTTGTGGATGTCCGGACACGCACCACGTGTTTATATTTGGCCAAAAGATTCCCACAAAATGTTGGACCTGTGATTTTCTTTTAATAGGGTGACACAAATGCCGATTACACTTGTGATGTAACTTTAAATACATAGTCAAACATGTGCAGGAGGCTCAGTGCTCAGTCAACACCAATCATTTGTGTAGATTTAGCAAAATTATATGACACTAGAACTCTACTTGTCTGTGGCCCTATTGCCCACGACCTCTATAACCCATGGTACCATCCTTGAACCCAGTGTTCTTCATTGCAAGGCCCGCGGGCCAATGGCGGTCCCCCTGGTGGCCTTTAGTGCGGCCCCCGTCAAAACGCAACACGTGACAACACCCCCCATCGTGCTGTCAAACCCCAATGGTTTGAAATGTGTGGTGGCCTTCATACTGATGTCTTATGGGCAAAAGTGGTCCCCCTTTGAAAATTAGTGAATAACACTGCTCTAACCAATAACCACCACAATGTATTGGCTGGCCAGACACCTCCCCAACTTCTAACGTGTGCCCCTGTGCAATAGGAACAACAAAATCACATTCCACCACCCCCACATCCCTCCCTTTAAGGCAACGAGCCGCATCTCAGCAAGGACAGTAACTTAACCGCTGCATTTGTGAAAGTAGGGGGCTCACCGTGGGCTTTTTTCGTTCCACGGTCTCCGTGGTGACATTGGTGCCGTTGTAGGTGATCGTGATGCTCCGAGGACAGGCTGGCCCACCCCCGCTGCAGTCCCTGAAGTTGTTCACGGTGACACGGAAGTCTGGCAGCACGGGAACGATCTGTTCGACCAGCACGTACGTGCAGTCGTCCGTAAAGGTGTAGTACGTGCCGTCGAATGTCGTGTAGTGTGGGTCACCCCACGCTGAGCAGATGCCTGAAGGAGAGCAAGCACGTGGAATTGAGCTCATCCATTTCAGACATTTTAATCAGATCAATTGATAAATATGTGAAGCAGCCACAGGAAGTATTATACTGATACAAAAAAAGCTGCCACGCTGTATGAGAGCTGAAACAATGGGCAAGTTTCTTAAATCTCCGCATTCTGTTCACCAATCAGTTAGAAATGGATATACCACAGTTTAGCGGCTCAACACGTTGCATCGAGTGGGGTAATGTGTAGGTGCTACCACCGATTTAAATTTGTCTAGCCAATGTAAAAAGTAGCCATTTTCTAGAGGGGCTGTTCTTCCAGCAGTGGCATGAGCAAGACATTTCAGAACTGCACCTTTACCAACGTATTTTGCCTATAAGTTCCGTTAATGTTCACATGGTTGTTTCTGTACAGAATTATCAGATGGTTGCAGTACATAAAAGCAATCAAATGCACGTTAAAATACTTATTATTTATTTCTTGCAGCAAATTATATTGAGTGGAAACACATGGAGCAGAGAACAAACTAAAATTCGAGAGATCAGATTGACTCGTCAGAAAAGAAATTTGGCTTGGGCAGAGGATGCATCACTCGATGGGACGCCGTCCAATAGATGAGCTTTGTGACGGAATGGCAGCCAAACGAGTGAACATGCCCAGAAGCACGGCCACCGTGGAGATTCAGTAAGGTGGATTGCGACATTACGAGACTGTCGTGATGGACAGCGATGGCGAGGGGGAAAGCCTTCATCCAGCAGTAGATAGGGCACGGCTTCGTAATGATGATAACATGTACGTTTGTTTCCTGGCTGCAAACTTACATTCACATTCGTAACGGATGCAGCAGCCGTCATCGTCACGGATCTGCTTTGGCTCGTGACCATTCACACATTGCGGCTTAATTTGTCTTGGACATGGGACTGCCACCATCTCAACGTTACTGCCGCCCCTGCACGTTGCGATTGTGCAGGATTCAACTTTCCAAGTCTCCAGATACTGGAAAGCAAGGGGGGTTTTGAAAAGTTATTATACCACATGTTTAGTGCTGAACTTATATACGATAAAAATAAAGCTGTTCGAGTACAATGTATTTCAAATGATAAAATTGTGTTTTGCAACACACAAGGAAGAACATATAATTTTTATGAACACTTTGTAGAATATTCTGCTACATTTACGAACACTATTTTGTGGGGAATATCAGAGCCTTACGATGTATGAACACATTTAACATTTGGAAGTTAAACAATTAACATGTACAGTACATCAGGCTACTTAATAAATCAAAAGCTATTATCGATGTATTTATACAGCATTCATCTAACGCAAACTATCAAGTCCAAAATGCATTCAGTGCCTTCGTGAACATTTTTTGAATTACCTAAATCCAATGCATGAATTCGAGCCAGTCAGATACATGGGCATGGGTTCCCAACCCTACGTATGTACGTATGTTGAAATCCCTTCGCACCATACATAGCCAACCGTGCTAACCCTATGGATGGAAATACCCATGGGTTTTCTGAGCACAGCCTCAAACCCAATTTCGTTGGTAAAGGGCTCCATCCCTTCACTATGATGCTCTGGGACTCGTTAGTGCTGCCCTGGCTGCCCCGCATGCCCTGCCTGTACCTGGGGCTCGTTGTTGTTGCTGGGCCTCAATTGCTTGGTCCTGGACTGTGCTGCATTGTCTCCCTCCCGTGTTTCCCTGCCCTGACCGCCCCCCCAACCCTTCCTTCTCTCCTGCCTTCTACCCTCACCTTTGTAAAGCGTCTGAAGTTACGGTTGCAATTAAATGCAATATATATTTAAATTAATGCTATCTTTGTTGACAAACTGTTAACCTGTTATAATTAAACACCGCAATTCAATATTAACAACAACAGCACTATTGAATGATAACAAAAACAAACAAAAAACGTCAATAATGTGTGTGTGTTTTTTTTAACACACTTTTTGGTTTTACCTTTCGGGGGGGATTTAAGTATATGCAATCAGATGGGGGCGTTGATGGTGAAGTGGTTGTTATCACAGGTTTCACGGTAGTGGTGGTTGTTGGTTGAGGGGTGGTAAATGTTGTAGTAGGGCTACTGCTTGTTGTGGTGAGACTGCTGGTTGTTATTACAGGGGTCGTGGTTGTTACTGTGGTGGTGGTGGTGGTGATTGGGGATGACGTGGTGGTGATTGGGGATGACGTGGTGGTGATTGGGGATGACGGGCAGGTGGCATAGTGATACAGAATCTCTGCTTCGTCTTCACAGATGGCGGTGCTACAGCCATCTCCCAGGTCAATATGTGCCCCGACTGCATACTTGATTCCGTTGTGCGTGCAAAAGCAGACTGCAACAAAAGAAAAAGAGTGATCTTTCAGGAAGCTGTTAACAAGGCATCATTTCAAGAAAAGTGTGAGGTCTCTTGAAACGTACTTCATTATATTTTACATTGTGCATTTTTAAAGATTAGATAATGGTGAGTGTATCTTAACCACTACAAGATGTTATAATGTTGAGTGAATAATGTTCGAAAAAAATACTGCTGCTTACCTGATCGATTGTAATGGCAAGAGATTCCAGATTCAGAGCACGTGCTAAATACACACAAAAGCACATATTAGAAATCGCATCATAGAGGTACGGTACAACAATGGATCTTTCGGCTGCCCACCACATCGCCGTGCAGCACTATGACAACCTGTTTGTACATCGCGGTCACCCATCAGAGCACCATCGAGGCTGAACTATGCGTAAGCTTCTGAGATCTTGTCAGATGGGGGGTATGCGAGGTGATTTGGTCATAGGCAGTCCTTAACAGTACTTCAAAACAGTCACCACGAGTCTCACCAAGTGTAACACTTATGCTCGCTGGGCACTGGTTGGTCCAATTGGTATCGTTGGCCTCTGTTGTCGAAGCAGCCGCAGGAGTCCCAGCTCACGCACAGCATGTTGTCCTCGTCAAAGTAAGGCTTGGACTCCGTGCATCTCGGGTAGCATCCTGGAGCACAATCGCACGGAGACACACGAACGTTCCCACCACACGTGCCACAGATATTTCACGATGGTTTACGGCGCATCCATGCAGCGTTGAGCAAACGCAAATCAATTGTTACACGGTGACAATGAGAATACTAAATTATCAGACGGACGAGAATGTGTGCAGGTCGGAAAGTAATGAGGAGCAATACACCACGAAGGTAATTTCTAGATAGAAAAAGGGGGAATTGTCACCATATGATAAAAGGACGACTGATATAATTGTCATAGTCATGCGTTTAACTGTCTATAAAGGAACTTTTGTGTGCATTACAATCATCCATTGCATTGTAGCTGAAATCGGTTTCACAAATCAGAAAATCACTTGCCTGTGAAGTCGCTCGTCAACGCATTTGTGGTTGTCTACGTGAATTTTGGTAAAATACCAACATGCAAAACAAATCACAGTTAAAGGCTTGCAGAGTGGTTGCCTTCGGGAAGACGCGGAGTTGGGTACAGGGCGGAGAGAGAGGGCTCACCCTCGAATCGTAGCACTCCCTCGCGACATTCCGCGTGCGGATCCCGGCAGGTCTTGGGGCAGCTTTGGCCACAAGGGCGGTAGTGCCATGTGCAGTCGTCCGGAGCGTCGTAATACTCGCAAAATAGGGCTGTGGAGACCGGATGAAAGATAAAAACCAAATAAAAACTAAAATCTGTTGCATTTTGCATTATATTAAAACTGTTTAACATTCCATTTTATATATTAATGTTACGTGAATTGAATACCCACGTGAAAATGTTATTTTATACATGTTGAAATAATATATGTTCTTGAGCCAGTAGTTGAATAAATGATGAACATATAGTACTCATCTCAGGAATTTTAGACAAGCATTTATATCCCTCTCGGGAAATCAAATTCAAGTTCATCATTTTATTAAAATGGGATTGAGCAACCGTGACTCTGTGCTTATTTTACAACGTTGTCCTGGCTACATCTTTGACCTTTGGTGCTGAATACACAATAATGTACGATACAAAAAACATATTGTCGAATTAAAATTCTCTTGAACGCATTTGCATAATGGATTACTGTATTTAAACAAGGTTAGTATAATAGCATTCCCGAAATTAAAATCTGCCAGAATTACGTTACGGTCAGTTTCTGCGGGAGCTGCAAATACCATGCAATGAGGCACAAGCGGAGCCATGCAATTGCTTGCTCAGGCCCACTGCTGCCTCCACTTGAAAGCGGTAGAAGTACCCACATTTTACCCCACCACACGCAACCTGCCAGTCGACTAACTGCGCTATACCCATTCATACTGCCGGGTGGACAAAGTCAGGGGGGAAGTGGGAGGGGGGTATTTAAGAAACCTCAACATTAAATATCGTGGAATTATAAATGAAGGTGTGGGCTTTTGATTTAAAGCTTTTCGTGACCGCAGGGATTCATATTCTTGGTTGCTTGTGTTGTAGTCGAAACGTCGTGAGAATTGAATTTTTTATATTTTTATAATTTTATTGTTTCCCTTCTACGTGACTTTACCGAAAGAACCAAGAATGTGAAGGTGTGAGCGTTAAGAGAGACTTGGAAGATGTTGCTAAAGCTGCAGCATTGCGTGTTTGTGTTTCTTGTCGGCTTTCATAGGTGCTCGCTAACAGCACTTGCCCCCAGAAGTCGATAAAGGCTACACGGGGAGCTTTGTCTTGATTGTCATTGCGTACGGCACAGGTCGCGGTGTGCCTCCACGGCAGTCAACAAAGACACACACCACCACACACACCACACACACTCCACCACCACACACACACACCACACACACTATACACACGCAGGCTGCCCCTTGAGTGACACCTGCCAAGCCTGTGCATCCCACTGGGATTTGCACACAGCGTTGGTGTACGGTGATTTTTTTCTGCAATATTTTGCTGTCTTTTCTTGGATTTTCTGTTTGCACTTAGTCACATATTCACTTTAAGATGTCTTTAGTTCATGTTCTTTGTTTGTTGCAGTTGCACCCGATTCAAGAGCCGAATGGCTCACAGGGCTATACCTAATAAATGAACTTGAACTGTGTGCGTACGTGCGTGCGGGCATGCGTGCGTGTGCGCGCGTCTCGACTGTCGTTTACTCACGGCACAGGTCGGGCGTGCGCCACTTGATGCACTGGCCGGCCTCATTGCAGGCCTTGGCGTAGACGGCCACGGCGTTGCAGAGGCACTCGCAGTCGCCGCCCGTGTCACAGCCGCAAGCGTCGTGCACGCAAGCCTCGTGGAAGGGCAGCACGTCAACCTGCAACCACGCACACGAATGGAAATCACTTCTCTATACTCGGCAGGCAATGAATCAGTAACCACCCAGGCAAAATGTTGCATTTTCAGGTTGCGATTTTTTTTCAGACTGAATTAAATAGTGACGCATTTTACCCTCTCTTTTGTTTAAAAAAATAATAATTTCATTTTGTACGGTTCAGTGTGCTCCATTAGCCTAAACGCATTTTTTTCTGATTTAGAATCTTTATTAATACTGGAGGAATCCGATGAGCTATTGAGCTTTTTTTCACAGATGTCCAGTCGAGGTGGGTTATTAGCACATTCTTGTGCATACGATTCACACGAATCGTAATGAATGCATTCTCGCCTCCAGAATTCTAAGTTGTTAATCAAAGTGCATTGCGACGTGTCTATTCCACACCACTGGTGTTTAATGTTGATTAGCATTGACTTGATGTTCCCGAGAACGATAGACTGCGAACGTAAAGGGGCAATTGCCTTCTGCAAGGCACACAAAGGAATTCATGCGTTGAAATCAATTAGAGCTTCATGCTTTGATGATTCAACCGAATTGGGTACAATTTTGCGAGGTTCAAATCATACAGACGAGAAGCAGGGTGCAAAATATTTGTTCATTTAAATTAATGCTGCTTTTCTACTTGAAGACAAACCTTGGAACATTTAAACGGAAATGCTAAAAATATCACGTCTCATTTATTGTTCATTCCCGTAACACATTTGCATTACAATTCTTTACAATTGTCTGTTTGAATACGTAATGAATTACGATGGCAATGTTTCCTAGTTACTGTCAGTAGGTGTGTAACTGTTGAGCAGTGATGAGTGCACTGCAAGATGAACCTGGCAACGAGATTGATTCCCAACCATGGCTAACGTCAGTGGCAAGTGATGTCTGAATTGACTTTGGTACCACTACGTTCACCAATTCGTCTTGACCAGTGTGGTTAAGCATGGTGAAACAATCTCCCATGACTGACACGGCACGAGGAGGCGTTAATCCAGCAGTGGATTGACAAAGGGCTGCAAATTGTAATTGTGTTACTGTGGTAGCTAACATTTATGTTAAACATTAATGGTAAAACATAATCTAGCACGGGTTATTTATTTATTTATTCATTAAATCTTATCATTATTTAGGCACATAATGAAGGTACCTGAATGAAGAATATGTATTCACTAGAATTTTGCCCGTCCAAGGACGGGTGTATTGCAGTAAATCTGAAACTTTCAAGTGAAAAGCAGACCGCAAGGTGATATCCATTGAATCAATGCGTGTGCAGTTTGTAAGGGCACGGTGACACAGACTTATTTCATTTAAAGGTTATAATCCCTTGTTCATCATGACGTCCTTTTTACTTTGATGTCTCAATAGCGGAGATCGCGTGATGACGTGAGGGTTCTGCCTTTGTAGTGAGGGTTGTGAGTTGACGCTGAGGAGGGGGGAGGAGGCGCCTCGCCCCCCCCATGTGGAGTGATGTCAGACGCTAGTTATTATGAATGGCAGGGGGAAGTCACCTTATAATGATTATTAATGAGGGGCGCTGTTCGATGTGGAGTTATGTCACCTGCTCATGATTATTAATGAGGGGGGAGGGTGCTCCATGTGGAGGGACGTCAGCTGCTCATGATTATTAATGAGGGGGGGGAGGTCCATGTGGAGGACGTAACCTATAAATATAAGTAAATATTTATTTATTAATACATAAATATATATATTGTCAGGAATTAAAATAGGAAGAAATACCAGTAATAATCGTGATGACTTAAAGCTTTCGTGACTGCAGGAATTCAAATTCTTTGGGTCTTTCGGTAAAGTCACGTAAATAGGTTCAAATAAAATAACAACGACGTTTCGATCGCATCAGGAAGAAAAAAGAGAGGAAAGCTGCTGAGGCAGACTGTTGTAAAGGTTTGAAATGGGTCTAGCCCAAGGGTCATAAACGAAGTGGGCGGGGCTATTGATGTTAATGTGAGAAATTAGCACGTTAATGTAAGATCGGAGGACGACCTCCAGGACATTCCTGGGTGATTAAAGTAGGTATAATAATGAGTGTAACCATACATTTCTCATCGTGTCTATTTTCATGAAAATATAATGTGCTAAGTAAGTTTCTACATCAATTCGTCGTTCTATCATGGTGGCTATCAGCAAATCATCGAAGGATAAAGATGTGCGTATATATTGGATGTTTAAATGCTTCAGTAGCTGAATGCGCCTGCATTTGATCTCAATTCAACAATTCCAATGCCCCTAGCGTAGTCTATCCGAGGGGACGCACTTTTACAACGGTCTCTCTGCGGCTACGAGTTGTTCGCATCACCGGCCAGAAAATGGGCATTAGTCTTGTCAGTCAGGGGCCGATGTTACGAGATGTTTTTTTCCCAGTTCACCAATGTAATGAAAGTAATATAATGAATTCCTGCATTATGGGAGCGCCTACGGAGACCCCTACAATCTACCAAGTGAGTGACACTTGGTAAAATCATAAGAAAACAAGAAATGGGTACTTGCCAATGCGTGGCATGATGCGAAGGTGTCGCTCTTGAGGATCCCACAGCGTTGCTGTGCCCAGGGCAGGCGGTGAGACATGAGTGCGCAGGGGCTGCTGGTTTCCTTGGCATCGGCACACAGCCCGCTTAGCTTCCAGCTGTTGCCGAACTCCAGCGGGTCCTCCACCACCATGTGGGTGCGCGTCGTGAGGTCGTTTGCTGCCCGGCCATCGTAGTTGCCGCACAGCCCACACACCGTTCCCTGGGGGGTGGCGAGTGGCCCACACAAAGGCAGATCTGACATCACTCTTGGCATAGGGGGCCCCTTACCGTGAGCTAGCTGGATTATTTGTGGCTGGGCATGTGAATGTCATCATCTGCTTTGCATACGCGTGTGCAGGGTTGTGTTTTAATAGAAATGTGCTTGCTAACAGAACTTGCCCCAGTCGTGTAGAAAAGCTACAGGGGTGGTATCTGCCTTTGTCTCATAGCAAGTACCTTATACCAATAATTCGACGAAGTGAAGAAAATGTACACGCAAGACTGCAAATTAATATCCACTCTGTTAATATATCCCAACTAATAACAGATTGTAAGATACACTTAAAGAAAAGGGTACATGTGCACGTTACAAAAACAGAGATGGATCAATTCTAGATTTGAAGTTTTTCGTGACTGCAAGGATTCATACTCTTTGGTTTTTTCGGTAAAGTCACGTAGGTAAAAAATAAAAATAAATTAAATCACGACGTTTCGGGCGCACCGCTTAAGCGGTGTGCTATCGCTAAGTTGTACCCACCTGAAGAAGGACGCTTGTGTTGCGCCCGAAACGTCGTGATTTTATTTATTTAAATGTTTTACCTACGTGACTTTACCGAAAAAACCAAAGAGTGGAGATGGATCATGCTGTGTTCATTCAGTGTTGAAAACGAATCTCAAGTTACCTTGTACTCTGGGCCCAAGCTGACATATACGCCTGTGTTCTTGTCCCATGTCAGAGTGATGCGATTGCTCGTCTCAACAACAAGGTACAGACCCCTGTGCTTAATCTGGAATGGATTTATTGTTTCTGGACCAGAGCCCAGGAAGTCAATGGAGTAGCTCTTCTGGAAAAGCTTGATTACCCAGTTCTGAAAGAAGGAAAATTGAGCACGATTAATTTACACGTACAAACCGACATTGTCATTTATTTGCAGTTATATAATTCAATTTCCTTCCATAAAAAAACACTTTATTTGAGGATGTGCATATATATTTTTGCATCGTTCAAAGCAGATATAGCATTTAGTCGTATAATGGATGCAATGCCAATTATGAAAGGAGCATAACTTTAATTATTGTACCTACAGAAAATGTTAAACAAAATGCTGCTAAGTCTTATGTGGTGTAATTTTACATGTTATATTGTATTCCAAAATTTGGCAACATATCATGTAAATCGGACACAATTGTGCTGTCAACAATTGACCTTCGATATTTTTAGCGATGGATAAGTGAAATGGTTAATTGCAACTATTGGTCATTTTGCAGAGAAAATGTATGTTTTACTGTTGTGAAATCACACGTTTATAATAGCTCTGTAAATTCCAACGGCTGTACACGTAATTGGATATCTTCCAGCCTTTTATTCAGCACATTTTGTTGTAGGTTCGAGTCTACCGTGGTGCAATGCCTCGTTGTTTTGCAAGAAAGAACAAAAGCACGAGGTAAGATTTGACACGGGGACCTTCTCCCTGCAGAGAAAATCCAGCATTTGATCAAATAATTCTTGAGCTATAATTAGACAAAGGTACTCACTCCGACTTGCACATTTATTGAGCGGGAACAGGTCGTGCCAGTGGTACCGCAGGGCACATTTTCTGTCGTGATGTTGAATGTCCCTTCGTGGTTAGGATTTTGGCAGTTGTCCTGCGAAAAATATAAACACAAACACACTGCCTTTAAAAGTCACTCCATTGCATGCCTCTGAAATATTGCTTCGACACGAAGTTAATAATAAAGAACAAGCTGAGTAGGCATGCACAGATGCATCGATTAAAACATATTCTTAGTTTATGATACATGCACCAAATCATGCTTCTCAGATTAGGTGTTTGATTTACATATATTATATATTATTGGTTCACATGATCCGTGCAGCCAATATGGGTATGTATGTTGAACTTCTTTCACACCTGTACATAGCCACCCGTGCTTATCGGACGTGATGCATTCACAACAAAATTTATGTGAAAACTAAGTTTCTTGAACGGTATCATGACACACTGAATTGTGACAATTCATCGAATCAAGATGTGATTTCAATTGTTCCATGCTGCATTTTCAGGACGTGGTTAAAGGTAATGGTGCGGCCATAACATTTGCTTGCTCACACACCACGACTGGTAGCAGGGCCGCCACTGGAGGGAGAGGAACGTGTATGTTGTTTTGTAAATTCTGTTGGTGCTTCGGAAAATCCAAACTGCTCCATACCTGGGCAATGACGTACGTACAGCTTCCCTCAAACAAAAAGCGCTGTCCATCAAAGGTCCGATAATGTCCTTGGCCATAGAGAGAGCATGTGCTCAAACAAGTATTGTTGGTGCACTCCCAATTCCTGTTCACGCACGTGCTGAAAAAATATATGAAAGAGAATAAAAATTACGTATAGATGCATTTAAAAAAAATTGCCAACATTACTCCTCTAGAGTAGTACACCTGCCAGGAAAGAGAGGATTCACACAGCTCTGCAAAATGTACATCTGGGGCAAAGAAACTACTTTGGCAGAGCTGCAAAAATTAGGTGACCTCACAGTCATATTTTTTAAATGATCATTGTAATGCGTATGTCATGTTCTTTTGAAGACAATTGCCTGTCATTTTTTAAATATAAAATATGGCTTGTTTATGTAATAAATTTGTGGATAAACACGCGAGACTGAATGCACCAATCACCATCCCAGCGTGGATGTCTGCAGACACGATGGTATTTATGAGCATTCTTTCTCTTATCAAGAAAGGTGCACAAATTAGTTCGATCTGAATTACAGTCCTAATTCGTTGAAATAGTATGCCCAAGTACAAAGCCACTTCACAATTACAAATGTACGTCCAATATCATGGAACTGTCCCTTTGCGCATCGTTCCAGGATTTACCAGGTGTTGCAGTCAACCTCAATGCTCTCTCCTGGTGCCGTTTTCTGACCATTGTGCTCACAGGGACAAGCCTCAGGTTGAATACAGGTCCCATCGTCTGAGTACACCAGCCCTTCGGGGCACACGCAGCCCGAGTTGCACTCTGGGTTGTACTGTTGAGAACATCACGGGACAGAGCCAATGCAGCAGTAACAGATGTATCACGGGCAGGAGAAAAAGTCGTTCTGATCCAATTCTTTAAAAGCTGCAAAGTGAGACGCTGGATGCAACGTAAGTAAATAAAAAAAAACTGCGACCAGGGGCAGTGTCTGGTGAAGTACTCACACACTCCTGCAGTGAACACGTCTGATGGCACGGGAAACTATTGGCGTTGGCGGTGGATTGGTTGCAGTTAAAGTAAACCATTGGATGTGGGCACGGCTGCGCTGTGGGCAGAAAATGATGCACACAGAGATAAGGAAAATGCCGTTCATCACAGGCATTGTTCATTGCAATTTCGTTGCACGTGATGCCCCGGCGAGGTGATGAACTGCGTGCTCGTGTGCGGTAGCTGTGAACCGTACGTGTTGGGCCCTGTGGGTTCGCGCACAGCATGGTCCCAGCGCGGCATTCACTGTGAATGAAGAACAAACGAACATTGAAGCATGGACATTGCATTGAAGCAATTTGCGTGCGTGACACATTCAATATGACAGCAATGTAATTCTATCATATAAAATAAAAAGCAGTTTAAAGTGGCATTTTAACAATGTATCAAACTGATCAGTATAAACTCATCCAGCACGTGTATATTCAGTCCTTTATCTATGCTATACGTCATTGAGATGTCTTATTTATTAAAGCGTAACAGGCCTGGTGGCGAATTGCAGTTACATGGGCAAACAAATTATTACCGCATATATACGTAGGGCTTAATTTCAGACAAAGTTACCATGTGTTTACGGCGCAGCGGCGTGAAAATGCCACACCACCACCTCCGCCGCCGTTCACTCGGTCCGGCGTCACCGCCGTTGCATCCACTCACCAGATGTACTTGCCCTGCTGAACGCTGTTCCCCAGAGGCAGGACATTTCCTCTGTAGTAGCACGGGCACTCCTCGGGGGCCATGCAGAAGCCACCGCCACTGTCGTAGGTTCCTTTGGGGCAGGTGCAGCCGTCCACAGCCACCCTGTTCGAGAAGCACTGCGAGCCCGTCTCCTGCAGGACTCGGCAGGTGTTCACGCAGGGCAGAGCGTTGTAGCTGTACACCTGGCTTCCAGGGCAGTTCTCCGTGTACTTTGCTGCACAGCACACGAGTGGCACAAAGGTGATTTTGTTGTTCTTGTTGTGCTTGTTGTAGTAATTAAAGTCTTCCAAATATTGGTTTAGAGCTTCAAAAGCACTTTTTGGACAAACTGATAGTGGCAATTGTTTCATTGGCACAGGGTGAGAAGGTTTTAAAGCCACCGAGCATTTCTCGAGAGGAATTCATGTGGCTAGAATGTCAACGAAAACAAATAATTTGATGTAGCTCTTTTTTAGAAGCGACCTGGCCACAAACGATAGCCCACTGAAGTAGCCTATCACGCGGAAACGTGTCGCAGCTAAATACTCTAAACGCATTTTTCTAAATGTGGAGAGATAAACCGGAGGACCCAGATAAAAATCCACGCGATCATGGGGAGAACATGCAAACTCCAAATATATAGGCATCAGGGTCGGGATCGAACTCACAAACCTCCTGCATACCCAGTGTGGTAGTTAACATCTCGTCACCGCTGCACCCCATAATTACGCAAGCATATACGTGCACAGCCCTTTTGTCATTCCACTGCTGGATGAGGGCCTCCCCTGCCGTACGGGTCTTGAGTGTCTTTGACAATGCTGGTTATCGCAGGTTGGTGAAGGCGGGGAGCAGAGTCGAGGGAGCACAGAAGCGCAGTAAAACAATGGATTTTTGTTGCACTCTGCTGCCCGCAATATAGAATAGCCCCACAGCCTATGACAACCAGGCGTACATGGTGGCCACAGCCATTCATACACTCTTCATGCTCAAAGCCTGCTTAGTTTCTGAGCTCTTGACGAGATTGGATTCATTCCAGGTCATTTGTTCACAGAGAGTTATACAAATATGGTACTGTTATAAAGTCGTGAATGTTTGTTTTTTATAATCCATCCATTCAATGTACCATCACCAATTACAACTAAGAGGTGACTGAGGATACAAAGTTAGAAAGTCGAAAATGTGTTTGGCTTTGGGGCGCTGCCTTGGGGAGATGCTATCTCCCTAGCCTTGTATGCAGGAGCCCGTGGGTTCAATTCCAGACCCTGATGCCTGTATATTTGGAGTTTGCGTGTTCTCTCTCTCCGAATGGATTTTTCTCTGGGTCCTCTGGGTTTCTCGTCCACATTTCGAAATACGCATTTCGATTATTTGGCTGATACTATAAATTTCCACTTGACAAGTCACTTGGATGAGCTAGCATGCGTGGCCAGGTCGCCTCTGAAAAAGAGCTCATATCTCAGTGGGCTTTACCTGCTAAATAGAATAGTTTACCTTTTTAATATTTGGCCAATATATATTGTGCTTTATATAATAATATACATATGGATGCCACATATATAGAGTATAATTCGATCAATACATTGACAACCCTGGTGAAGTCGTACTTTCAGGTACTTTCAGGATCTGCAGTTCTGCTTCACCACCTCAGAGTTCACCACCTCATGGCAATGCCTGAATGTAGGTATAATGGCGGGATGTACCATTTCTCCATTGGCATTCATAATGGCAATGGAGGTTATCATCAGATCCTCAAAATGGGTTGCTGGTGGACAGCGAGTCGACTCTGGTTTTCGCCTCCCTCCACTCAGAGCCTACATGGACGACATTACAACATTGACCACCACTGTCCCATGCACCAGGAGACTGCTCAGAAAACTCGAGGAGAACATCAGCTGGGCCCGTATGAAGATTAAACCATCCAAGTCACGCAGCATCTCGATTGTGAAGGGAGTACTCTGTGACCTGAAATTCTTCATCGGAGATGACCAAATCCCTACAGTGTCTGAGCAGCCGGTAAAAAGCCTTGGAAGGTGGTATGATGCAAGCCTGAAGGACAAAGACCAGGTGCAACAGCTGCGCAAAGACATCAGTAGTAGCCTACAGTCCATCGACAACACCCAGCTACCTGGAAAGTTAAAGGCCTGGTGTCTGCAGTTTGGTCTCCTACCCCGGGTGTTGTGGCCCCTAGCAGTGTATGAGGTTCCAATCTCAACAGTAGAGAAGATGGAAAGAGGAGCCACGAGCTACTTAAAGAAGTGGCTCGGAGTTCCACGATGCCTTACCACCATAGGCCTCTATGGAGATGGTGTCCTCAAGCTGCCCCTCACCAGTCTAACCGAGGAATTCAAGTGTGCAAAAACCAGGCTCCAGATGACACTGAATGAATCTCGAGACCTAGTGGTGAGCAACAACGCGCCGACCTTGGCAACTGGGCGCAAATGGAGGCCAGGAAAAGCAGTCCAGGAGGCAACAGCAGCCCTCAGACATGCTGACATTGTGGGTCATGTTCAGCAAGGAAGAGGAGGCCTTGGGCTAACTAGCCGTGCTGCTTGGAGTAAGGCCACTGCACCAGAGCGGCGGAAGATGGTAGTGCAGGAAGTACGCCATCAGGAGGAGGCTGCAAGGTGGGCCAAGGCAGTCTCTCTTGCCAAACAAGGACAGTGGACTCGATGGGACAGTGTGGAGAAGAGGAAGATCAGCTGGAAGGATCTGTGGGCCATGGAAGCGAGGCGGTTGAGCTTTTCCATCAGAGCAACATATGACATCCTTCAAACACCAGTTAATCTTCACCAATGGTATGGTGAAGATCCGGACTGTGCCCTCTGTTCCATGCCAGCCAACCTCAGGCACATTCTCACAGGGTGTAAAACAAGCCTCACCCAAGGACGCTACACTTGGCGTCACAACCAAGTCCTTAAAAACCTTGCGTCCGCCCTGGAGGACAAGCGAGCTGCCACCAACTCCCTACCACCCCCAGCAGCATCACACCCCTTACGGACGACCTTTGTCCGCGAAGGGGCTAAACCACCGAAGAGCGGTTCTACACCAATAGAGCGAGACCAGCTGCGCTTGGCCCGCGACTGGAAAATGCTAGCTGACATTGGCCGGCAACTTGTGTTTCCTCCGGAGATCGCAACCACCACCCTAAGACCTGACATGGTGCTCTGGTCCCGTTCGCTCAAGAAGGTCTTCATCATTGAGCTCACAGTACCCTGGGAGGACTCAGTAGATGAGGCTTATGAGCGAAAACATCTGCGCTATGCCGATCTAGCTGCCGAAGCACGGCATCATGGCTGGAACACAGAAGTCCGACCAGTGGAGGTGGGCTGCAGAGGTTTTGTGGCAACATCTACAACCAGACTGCTTAGAGACCTGGGAATTAAGGGCCAGAGCCAGCGTTCGGCAATCAAAGCTGTATCGGAGGCGGCAGAAGGCAGCAGTCAGTGGCTCTGGATGAAGAGGAAAGACCCCAGCTGGGCCCCAAAGTGAGAGGGCCAGGAGGTATGCAGTCAACAATGCTTGACTCAGGGAGGAGGACGCCCCTGCCATGCATAGTCCCATGGGATGTTGGCTACCAACAACAAGGCAACTCCTATGACTAATTGGGAATGGGATGCAAGCGTAGGATTGATCACCCTGTCGCTGGCCGCCTTTGGGGAGGGTGTATAGTATGAAAGGCCGAAACACCCTAGGAACCAAAGGGTCACTACTGACGATGCGCTCCCCAAATTTCACCAGGCTCACTGTTCATGAACTCTTGGAAGTGCTTGCACAAAGGATAGTAACATCTCATCCTGTGTTCTTTGGAATCTGAGGGTGATCAATGTTATCTGACATTTATGATCATAAGACTCACAAGTGGTAACAATAGAAAGTACTCAGTCTTGTAGAACAGCCTTATCGTTCATAATGTTTCCTGGTACAAAATGGTATATAAAACCGGGTAGCCAGGATTCCACCCATGATGTTGCGTAAATGATGCGATGAAATGTGATACAAGAATGATTAAGAAACTTGTCAGGTTTATCAGTGCTTTCCATCATGCTGATCGCTTGCATTGAACAGTTGGATGGTTTCGCACAAAGCCAGATGAAGTAGATTCCCGAGGAATGTGCACCGTAATATAGTTTTGTATTCTGTTGTGCAATCGAGTTTTTTTGGGTTGGTAAACTCAAAAATAATAATAAACCAATGTAATTCCCCAAGCTAAAGTACGTTTAATTTCCTCCGGTGTTTTATAACATCTTTATTGACTCTTGACTTAAAGCTTTCGTGACTGCAGGAATTCATATTCACTTAGATAGGTTTAAAGAAAATAACAAAAAATAACAAAAAAACTACGACGTTTCGATTGCAACACAAGCGGTCATCATCAGGAAAAGGGGGGTTAGCTTCTAAAGACAAACTGCTTATAAAGGTTTGAAATGTGCGTAGCCCAAATTTCAGCAGCCAATGTTAATGTAAGTGGTGGGCAGTGACTGCGGCAGTGGTGGGTTTTCCACCAATCAAAGGGCTGCCAGGTAAAAATGAGCATCTTCATGTAAGATCCTCCACGGCGAGCGTGCCGAGGTGGCTATGTTTTTGTTGGGTTAGATCGCATAAATAAACTGTGTTGTTAAACCCACTACGACCCGACACAGCCAATAGTAATGTTTGTAACGTAAACAAAACATGCCAATTAGTTGTTAGTTCAGCACACCGGTGTGATGGAAAGTAAACCCACAACATTTACAATTCTGGCTGTCGCCTGAAAAGGCTGGTTGTAATTACTGGCAAAACGTCGTACTTATGGATAATATTGGTCGCGAAAGGCTACGTGTTAAACTGATATAGAATCTGTCATTGCTTACACATACTGCTATACTTGAGATTTAAATATTCACTTATACGAATGTATTGCTACGTGGTATATGAATAGCATATACTGATGAGGTGCTGCATGAAGATCTTAACATTGCTGGCATATTCTTAGGTTTTTTTCGGTAAAGTCACGTAGGTAAAAAAATTAAATTAATAAAAATAAAATAAAAATAAAAATCACATCGCTGGCATGTTACTTTCTTAAGCCAGCACAGCACTCTGCTTCGCAAGCCCGGTCAGAGGAACAACGGCCACGCGGCTCTGAGCATGCAAACGTGAAGGGAAACGTACCGCACAAGTGCTCCCTCCATCCCTCCAGGACAACGTGCTTGGAGGCACAGGCCAGAGCATAAGAGGACAGTGCAGCGCACAGGCACGCCTCGCTATCCTGGCAGCTGCACGTGTCGTAGAGGCATCTCTGTGGAGATACGCGGATGGGTGAGCACTTTCAGTTCCAGTGCTGCAGGGAGCAGGATTTTACGGGAACATATTCGCAGAAGATTTGTAATAAAATTTACGAGAATATTTAATACAGTTGTAAATGTTAGAAATAGCCTTTCCCTCCGAGGAATGACAAATGTTCCATTAGTGACTAAATTGTCAAGATAAATTTAAAAAAATCGGTATGTAATATTTTTTACTTAATCAATGGCATTGTGCTATTGGCATCGTGTCATGAGATTAAGTGTCCTTTCGGAACAGAGAAGTGCATCGTGCTGTGTTTGACGACCAGCTGTGGAAGGTGATATTATAGAATTGCTTCTAAGCTGCATTGAAGTGACGTGCTTGGGAAATGTACTTTCCAATACGCCTTGTCATAGACACATTTAGTGTATGACATCCAACATGAAGTGCTACTGCAGCGTCTCTCGGCAGATCTCTCACCCAGTGACTCAGGTGCTGCTGCGGGGTCCTACTTTCTGCCCCGCCCTCTCTCTCCCCCCGACCGCCGATACCTATATAACCTCGTGCCACGGCAGATATCTCGCCTACTTCAGCAGTTTTTTTTATTGCTGTAGTTGTCCCACCTGATGACGATTGCTTGTGTTGCGATCGAAACGTCGTGATCTATTATTTTTCTACCTACGTGACTTTACCGAAAGAACCAAAGAGTATTTAAAAAATGTTTCTAAATTTGAATGTTTTCTAATAAAGTGGAAATCCTAGTTTAATATGAATGGGGTTTTGTGTGTGTGTGTGCAGTCTATCGTCATTAGGCTGAGACCATTAAGTCACTACATTTGAGAACCCAGTTCAGTGTTCTGAGTTAGTAATACAACTGCACGTAAAGATAACATTTCTTCGTATGTTATAGAAAAATTAAATGTTTTACTTACAATAATAGTTGTTAACATTCATTCGGCAAAATTGTAAATGTATACTTGCTCCACTGTCATTTAACAAATGCTCTAAATATTATTTAAAGTATATATTTTAATATTCATATTCTTGTTTCTTTCGGTAAAGTCACGTAGAAGGGAAATAAAAAAATAATAAATAATAAAACAATAGAATTCTCACGACGTTTCGATTGCAACACAAGAAATCATCCTCCTTTTCCATCGCACTTTGTAAACATTGTCGACCATTTTTACGCTACAAATATCTCATTATTTAGGTTGGCGAGTGTCTTAGCAGTAGCACTGCCTGTGCATTTGCGATGGATATGAATAAGAGTATTGAAATCAAAATGGTAATTAGATTTTTTTTTCACGCTTTATGTTCTGCCATGATTGATGTCCTTTGCTCTTGAACGTTTTTAAAATTTCCATTGTGAGTTCCTAAAATTCACTATTGTGTAAATAATTGTACTTGTTTTTTTAATTATCTATCTACGGTACTTTACCGAAAGACCCATTAAGTATAACTAATTGTAGTCAACATATTTTTGGTTTACACATGTGTGAGTCGTGTCTATAGGGAGATGCTTAAACATGTGAAACATGTAAAGAGCTTGGTCATATTGGAACAAAACCAGACTGAATAACTAAGCATAAAGATTTTGCAAGAATTAAACATTGTTGAAAGCTGTGTAAATAAGCTTATGCTTTTTGTTTGCATCAGCAGTTATGTTGTTTAATTAGCTTAATAGTATTATGCTACGATGCATATTACATAGACGCGAACATTTCCATGGATCTAATCTGTATAAAATTAAATCGGATTTTAATAATTGCAAAATCACCATTATGTAATACTTATGAACTTAAGTAACAATAAACAACCATAGACTCGCATGAGATACATTTGCTGTTATAAAAGTAATGAAGTAATGTATGCAGAGAAAAAAGATATGTTTATTTCAGGTGGGTGCTGCATTGTGAGGTTTAGCCAAATTCTTTTAAGGAGGGTTTGGCATGTGGGAAGAAATTGGAGTACCTGCAGAAAGCCGATACATGGAGGGAGGTAACACTCAATGGTCCACAAACATAGGGACACTAAAGCTACCAACTGCAATTACTTTTCACCACTTCACAGTCCAGTGGGTTTCAGAAATTCACAATGCACGTGGTCCATTAACACTTGCTGCCAAAAGCACTGGATCACAGGCGTGCACCACTGTCTTATATTGATAATATTTTAATCGTGAATAAAACGATGACTATTGCAATTATTCCAGAATCTACTCGGTAAAATATGGTTAAAGAAAAACTATTATTCATCAATCGAATCATGATTGCTCCAATTGCTATTGAGTCTGATGTTACAAAACCTCATAACTCCTACAGCCACTCAGAATTCTACAGAATCTGATTTCAATAAAAAAAAAAAGTAACTATCTGATCTGGCAATAAGGACGTGACTCGATTTTGTTTGGCTTACATTCTGAACCATGCTAATTTGGTCCGATTATATAATTTGTTGGCTTCTGATATTTTGGAAAAAGTGAGTAGATCTGATTTCCAAACTGAACCGGATGACGCACCGCCAGTTATTATCCTTGTTTGGGTAACATTTTCCAATGCATACAACTTGTGTGCTTTTCGTTTAATGAGACTGGACAAACTCTAATGCCTCGTTAACTTACATCAGCCCCCCTGAATTCAGATGTGTGTCTGACCTTGTAGAAGGCTTCAGGGCTGACCGTCCCATGGCATGCAGAGAAGGGCCCATCAGGTGTCTTCATATTTGAGCACATGTCTTCAGCATATTGCTCTGATGAAAGGAGAAATAAAACACATTCAAATGAGTAATGACAATACTGTAATCAGCCGATTTTAATAACCCCTACTCTTCTTCCTTTGTGCAATGGATTTGTGTAACTTATACTTAATTCATACGTACATTTTACAAATTGCATGAAGTGGTGGAAGTTGGCCTAATGTGAAGCCTATTTTCACTTAAAGGAAAGTGCACAATGTGAAACAAATGTTCTACATGAGGCAACACCGTTTTTTTTTAAATGAAAGTATTGGTCAGTTAAAGCAACCAAATATCATCCATTTATCAAATTACTATCACTGGTTGAACCAGCTGTACCCAGCCTTTTTTGTAAATACCATATCGTATGGCTTTGGATACTGGTGTGGCACATTAGGACACTGGTTTCACAACCACTATTATCTGTACTGACCAACAATTGTTCACTGTGTGCATGAGTAATCGTAATTCTGCAGAATCCAGTAAATCAAGGTGTTGCACAAATACCCTTGGTTCACGGCTGGCTTGTACGTCAAGTTAAAATAAACGAGTTGAGAAAAAAATAACTCAAACAAATAGACTGGACTGAATTTTTCACTTTTTAAAGTAAACAACAACGTTTTTTTAAAGAATGCACTGAGTCCAGCAGGACACGGGTCATTAGCAACGTGTGAATACGCGCAAAGTCAGCTGTCCAAAACATCAACAACGTAGGATTGACTTTTCTAGGTGTGGTTTACTCACTGTGGTTTAGGCTGAGCATGCAGGGTTCCTCTGTGCTCTCAGTCGGGGATGGGCAAGTGTTCTGGGCTTTCCATGAGTTTGCAAAAGAAATGGCTGTGCCTTCAATCAACCCATTGCTCGTCTTGAAGTCGTCGCATTGTATGCCATTGTAATCTCCACAGAGACCTGAAACGCCACAACTGTTACACGGATATGTTTGCCATGCACATCATCGTGTGAATATTTGCAATACAATGCTCAGTCCTGGTCTCTTTATCGTAGCTAGCAGCCAAAGTTAAAATGAACAAGGGGCAACAATCACGCATATATATGGGTTCTGTAATGCCTTCCAGCATACGTTTGTCCTCGGAATTTGTATTATTATTATCAATAAGTAAGCCATTGGCTAAGCAATCAGTGTAAAAATCATTTGCATATTTGCATAGAGTACTTGTACTAGTTTGTGACTGTAAAATGTAAGACAATCCTTTTATCAATTTGGCCAGTTGTCTATAAGGTGTCAGAACAAAGTTATGCTGAAATTACATTTATATTGGATCATAATTTAAAAAAAGTTATTGTTACCCCGTGTTACAGACGGGGTGGACAGAGCTAATGCGTGAACGCTTTCAAGCTTAGTTAAAAAGCATTTAAAAGGCTACTTTGAAAAACTAAGTGTTCGCAGCTGTTTCTGCAGGTTAAAGCCCAGTACAAGATGTTCCACATAGCGTTCGAAGTCATCCGGGAGGGGTTTTTTGCGCACGACAAAGTGTTCTCAGTGTTGCTGAAGCATTCTTCGTGCGTACCACAGGTGGCCGTCTGGAATGAAGGATCCAGTGTGAGATACACCTGCATCACTGGAGAAAGCTGAACGAGCAAATTCACCCCGATACTCGTGTGCAGATGGATGTAGAATGACGATTGATAAAATATTGTGATGGCGTCTGGCACAAAGAAAAACGATAATTATATATACAGAGTAAGTTATTTGTTAGCAACAAAATTGGTATGAAAATATTCAGAACTGTCACAATGTACACCGTATAAAACATGTTGTTTGAATAGAAAAGTAGGTCACTGTTGCCTGCAATCCCACATTTTAACATTTTATGTTATTCTTAAACAGATATAACATGTACATGCACCTGTTGTACCAAAACATATATATATAAACATTTGCACATTATCACTAATAAATTATATTGCAAGTTCTTAATATCAGGTAACATTTACACATTTAAAATGGAAAGAAAATTATGCATAAACGTTTGTTAAAATACTGTGATGCAGAGGAACATATTTGTGAATAAACAAAGCAAATGACATCAGGCAATAGTTGTTCGTGCATCATTTTAATATGCAGAGTTTAATAAGCAGAGTTTAATGTGCAGTATTCAATTTCAAACTAGTTTTGACGTTGCTACATGGATGTACTGTGCTTCACTTGATGAACATATTGAATTCTGACTGGCACACATTTGTACATTTATTAAACTATTTACTTCACTAGTTTATGCTTTCTTGCCAGGAATAAATGAGTGAATCTACTGGCTAAGTATCCCTTACTGTCAGTATGATGGAGTGAAATTAATAACTATAACAATCGATGGACCTTTGTCAATCCAATGTTGGATAAGGCCCTCTCCAGGACATGTTGGCTATGGAAAGGTTGTTTGACCATACTTCACCCCACTGGTCGTGGTGTAGGTTTGTGAAGGAGTCCTAGGACTGTTTAGATGTCACTTTCCACCGATGCTAGCCGTGGAAGGAAAACAAACTCAGGTTGTCGGGTTGTACAGTATTAATTTCTTTCGCACAGTACGTAGCCAACCGTGCTACTCAGAGGGGGGAGTTCATAACAGTGTACCAACTACTATGCCACTACCTTCCCTATAATAGCATTATGCATACATAATAATTGTATATATATATCGTAGTGTGTGTGTTTTATTAGCCATGGCATTACTTACTGGAATCATACGGCAGATTGACTTCAACATCATTTACAGAAACCTCTCCGGAATCGGAGATCATTATTTTCTAAAATAAAGAAATAATAACAAATTGCATGAGCATTACGTCGACTCATTTGTACATTTGTATATAACAAAATAAACCACGAGTACGTTTAAAAAAACATTTTACATGAACTGCTCTATAGCTAAAATAAGAAAAATGTGCACTTATAATAGTGACTAGAGATTCTCTCACCAGGTCATTTCTCCCCAGAATCAGGGCCAGTGACTTCAAACAGGTGTTCTTGGTTTCACAGGGTTTGAGTTTGACCATCAGATTGAAGAGATGTGTTCTACAGTCCTGGAAACAAATGACAGAGCGTTGTCGACAGCATGAATACAAAGAGGTAAAAAGACGTTACGTTGTGCTTGTAAACCTATGATCAGGGTCGTTTATAGTTTCTGATTGAACCCCTTCGACGGTTTTCAAAAAGGAAACAGTTAATTTATGTTTTTACTTTCTGATGTTTTAATTTTTGGAAGGCATGGTCATCATCAAGAGTGTTTAACTTTGCTAAGTGATATATCATCATTGTCAGGTACCAACACATTGTGACACATGTTCCCGAAGAGAACGTGTTTATTTTGGGAACTGTTGTCACAGCCTCTCTGATTTGTTTTCAGGCGGGTGTGTTGTTTGGCAAGACGCTTCTCACATTACACTCAAATTTCCCTGAAAAAATATCCTTACAATTTGGAACTGAATCAGGTCCTAGATAATCTCCAAGCATGTGGAGAAAAAATTCAGAACATCACACTGAACAATACGCAGCATAACAGCAAATTACATCGGACAGCTACACAGCACAACTGTGAAAACATACAAAGTAGAATGCCGAAGGTTGTTGACAAGTCCTACTCACCATTGCCATGAAGTAGTAGCAGTCTCCGTGGAATGTGAAATGATTTTGATCAAACGTTTTGATGTGTGAGCCTCCTTCCAATGCACACGTTCGTGGACAAGGCTGCTCCTCGCAGTTCCAAACTCCTCCGCGGCAGACGCTTTAAGGAAAGAAAAACACAGACAATACATTAATGTAGAAGTAAGGCGTTAACAATTTATTAATTTAACATGTTGGAAAGATTAGATGTATTAAATAGTGCAGGTTTTTTTAAAACAAATCTTCACGTACATGTGTTTTGTGAACCAATTGCCGTACTGTAAAATCTTCACATTCTCAAATATACATTTAGGGTTGATGGAAAATAGATATAATAGGTGGTTGGATGGCTCAGGGGTCATAGCATTGAGACAGAACTGCTGAGATCCTACATTCAAGTCTGTGCCGTCACCACTGATTAAACTGGGATATTTAATAACGTGCTTCAATCGCATCAGCCTAGTCAAACAGAACTATACAAAACAAACCAATACATTGATTTAGATTTTAGACTACATTTTTATAACGTTCCAGCCTTCCTAATTTCAAATTATATGTATTATTTGGTGTTATGAAAGGATTCACTGTCATGAAATAAAGTTATCTCTGCAGCAGGGCACAAAGACAACTGCAGCCACATCTTGTTTCGATGAAATAAATGTCACTGGAAGGGATCTCAGAAGCCATTCTAGAAAATCTGGTTCTGCATGCTGTTCCCTAACACATGGGCGGTGATGCTTGCTCTGCGAGAGTTAGAAATGGTTATTGCATCTCGAGACTTGACACCGATGCATTTTGGGAAAAGACAAAATGATCTCACTCACCAGTCCTGGCAATCCTGGTGCAGTATTTCACCAGCATTATAGGTGTGTTTGTTAAACACACAGGAACATTCTTCCAGTGGTATGCAGCCCTTGCCAGTCAAGTCATCCCATATTGTTCCTTGCATAGAAAACGAAGGTAAACAATTTGTCATTGTGTCATAATAATAGGCAGTCACCTCGAGTCCTGGAGAGGTCATATCAAGATTGTCATTTAATTTTGTCTTCGAAATGTATTATATACCTCTTGAGAATTCTTTAGAACTAGCTTACGTGCTTGTTTTTTTAAGTGGGAAGTCTTTTTTTGGAAATCGTAATATCCTGTAATTGGAAAATGTAAAATAATTACTCTTTGCTTTGTGAACTATGCTGTTATGTAATAAAGTTTAAAGTTAATATCAATGCTGTGGATCTGTTGGGGCATTGTTGCCATTTCATAAGATGTTAGTTATTTTATTGCGTAAAAAATTCAGATACATTTCAAGTAGTTGGCATTAATTTCAGTTTTCACCATCATAGGGAGCTCATTTAATAAGAAGATTGATATTTTAACATTGCGATCATGTGTGAATAACTAACCAATTACACAATAACTCACAAACTGTCTTACGTTGCATGCATACTTTTTATAGCAGAAAATATCTGAAACGTCCGTGCTATTCACCGCATATTAACTGAATGGGAAACAATACATAAATGAATGAACGTGCAGGGAAGCATACCTCTTGGACAGAAGCAGCCTGGCACACATTCGTCGAAGCACATGTTGCTTAGGCTTGGCTGAGAGCAGCTGTTGGGACATGGAATGCCACACTCCTGGTAGATCTTCCCAGGAAGACACTCAGGTGCTGCACCACAAGTCAGACAAGCAACAAAGATCCCAGTGATTTTACATTTGCATTACTTACAGGCCATTTATGATGTGAAATATGGTGCGTATGTACATTGCGATGTACATGTCTATTTTAGTTGGATAAATAACTGTGATGACTCAAATGGATAAACTCCATCCCAAGCAATGCAATAAATTTTTTAGGTTAGTTGTTCGTTCAGTAAGACACAGTTGGGTCAAGAGAACAATTCTTTAATAACCTGTGGGCTTCTTTAAACTTTAGGGGAAATGATCACAAATTAATATTCTTAATGTGTGCATTAATTGCACGTAACTATATATATGACGATGTAGTAATGTATTAGTGTGGTTTAAATATATATACAATTATATATAAACCACACTGAGTTTCTTGGCTCTAAACTCTAAAGGGTTCTGCTTTTGGCATGTTTGGCCGAATGAAAACCACATTTCCTGGAAAACATAGATGTTGCTAAGGTTATAGAGACGTCCAAATGTATCCTACAGAAATACTCACTTATGCCAGCTTGTTTTCACAGCGCAAAGTTGCGCTGCACAGAAACGTAACTCACTTGTGTTTCTCCAGTTCCCAGGTGTCCCGCCGATGCTCCTGCACTCTCTGGAGTACTCCTCCACTGTGCCAAAGTCTGGGCAATCAGATGTGCAGCTGCACTGATCGACGATGCATGCCCCGATGTACGGGCGAACGTCAAGCCGTGCATGGCAGTCAGCGAACTCTGGCGTGTTCAGGACTAACTCGCACAGAGATTCCTAACAACAAAAAATAAAGGTGCACAGTCGAGTAACAGGTCCAGTCGAGATGTCACCGTTGATGCCACCACACACCCAGCCATCACTTCCTGCAAAGATCCCCGCGCAAGATTCCACAGCTGTTGCAAGTTGACACCTGTCCTCCAAGGCCTCTGGCCAATTGTACAACATTCCCCAAGTGAAATTTCCCCTTGGTGCACACTGCTTTGGTTTGAAATTCAGAGATAATATCACGTGAAATATGGTATGCCACTGATCGCTGCTCTTAAGGTCGCCTCCGGCTTAGCAACTTGACGATATTTTGGCAATGACAAAAGCACGTAATATGTAATATTATTGAAGCCAAATATATTTGCCAAGGAATGAAAACTTACAGTTGCTTTTTAAAAATAAAAGTAAAAAGATGTACAAAAATGTGTATAATATCGTACATTTCCTGCAGATACATGTTCATTACATGGTCACTTTGAAGCCCCATGATACGAACAATCTTCCACATTAACCACTCTTCTCCATTAACTTGGAAATTGGATAATAAACGTTGTACACATCTGTTAACAGATCTTCACTCGACGAAGGGCATAATTGCCCTTCTGTATTTTTAAAATTATAATAATAACGTAATATTTATACAATAATTACAGATATGTATACAAGGAGGGAATAGTGGCACGGTTGTTAGCACACTGCACTATGAAGCCGAGGACTGGAGTTTAATTCCTGGCCATGGATAACACAAGTGGAAAGTTATAACCTGTGCTAACCTGCATGGTGGAAGATTGGTTAAGCAACCCGTATTATCTTCTTGGTTCTTTCGGTAAAGTCACGTAGAAGGGAAATAATAAAATAATAAAAATAAAACATAATAAAATAATTCTCACGACGTTTCGGAGGCAACACAAGCTTCCGTCTTCAGGTGGAACCGTCACACACCTGAAGACGGAAGCTTGTGTTGCCTCCGAAACGTCGTGAGAATGATTTTATTATGTTTTATTTTAATTAACATAATAAATAATTCCCACGACGTTTCGGAGGCAACACAAGCTTTCGTCTTCAGGAGGAACTGTCACAGCACGATAGCTGTATCAAGTACTTGCTTGATCAAGTACTTACTTGATACAGATATCGTGCTGTGACGGTTCCACCTGAAGACGGAAGCTTGTGTTGCCTCCGAAACGTCGTGAGAATTATTTTATTATGTTTAATTTATTTTATTTTATTATTTCCCTTCTACTTGCCTTTACCGAAAGAACCAAGAAGATGAATCCCTGCAGTCACGAAAGCTTTAAATCGAAATTCAACCCGTATTAATGACATGGCATGAATAAACATTTATGCAGCACTGGCTTGACAGAGGGCTGTGCATTATTATTTCACAATTACTACAAAGCTGTAATCATAATATTCTTCTTCTTCTGGCTTCATTTTATTTGAAGCTGGTCAGCAGGAATGCGCGGGGGGAGGGATTTGGGAGGTTGGGGTTTGAAGAGCCTGGATTTTCCAGGTACCCCCACACTTTAAACAGTAAAATGTTAGCTAAGCGATTGACGCCAGACGTACGTGCATGCTGCAGTCATCAGGAGTTGGCGGCTGTTCTACTTGGTCGCACTGCACCATTGGATCATAGTATTTATTATTCAGTGCATATTCAGCCACGGAGAGAATTCCACCTGAACAAAAAAAAGAGCATGAAAACCACCACAATGCTTCATAAAATTTGTGTCTGTAAACATGGACTTTTCAGGGGAGGAAATCACGTTTGTAAAAACGATCATCATCATCAACCATCATCAATTCGCTGGTGGTTGAAGGGACAGATTAAAATGATTCTCACCTTTAAATTCGTGATATTCTGCATCGCCGTTGTAGTCTCCGCACAGCCCGCATGTTTTGTTTCTGTAGGACTCCGTGACTTGTAGCTAAAACATAAAATGCCAAACGTTAAATTTAAATGTTGCTCTCCTCCACCTATTTATTGCATTTGCAGCAAAGGCACAGGGCGGGGGAATGTGTCAACTAATAAACCAGCAACAACATGCCACTTTTTACTGTTTGTGTGAAATGGAATTTTTACGTCGTCCTCATAACTTGTTTTTACTACGTGTAAAACAAACACAAATAAAATATTTTAAAATATGAGTGTTTATTTTTTTTTATAAATTACTTATTTTAGCATTGCATCCATGTAGAGTAGATATTTTATCGCAGTTGTGTTTTGCCTTCTCTAAACGTGCATTTATTTAAAGTGATTTATTACAAAAACATTATATTTACGGTATGACTTGCCAATTCCTATACAGACAACTGGGAAATTATATTTTTATTGTAAAATCTGTAACTGTCCGAACAAAGACACACACCGATGCGTGAACATGAAATCATATATGTGGATACAGTATGAATGTGCAAAAGGCATGATGTGCTCGTACCAGTAGAGAATCTTTCTTGTTCCAAAAAAGTTTGAAGCCAATATTGGTAGCTGCTATTTTAACGTCATCACCCAGCGCTATTATTTGAATTCCATACTGGTTAAAAGGAAGTTCTTGTCTGAAATAGAATATGGAGAAAAATAATGTAATACATTCAAAACATGAGCAGTTCAAACGCAACTAATGTATCTGTACATAAAATGTCAGTTACAATGGGCTTGCATAACAAGGAGTCCCGGGTGACTGTATTACTGTTGTCATGCTTGCTACCTTCAACATTGCCAGTGAGAGCACAAAATGAACTATTCATAGCAATAGTATAAGATATAATTTTGGAAAATCTTATTGAAGAAATAAAGGCATTAAAATATATGGAGAAAGTATGAACTGTCTTGGATTTGTTTAGATCGATGTAAATTAACTGCAGGAAAAACTTTACAAAACCAAGATGAAAAGCTGGACTCGGGATAAATATGCGCAAAACGAAAGTAAGGTACAACATGTCTGCTGAACAAAAGTATTGTTGGAGTGGCTCCCCTGGAAAACACAGCAGAGTATGAATACCTAGGGTAGTTATTGAGGCAGGGCGGAGATCAAAATAAAGAAACAAAGAGGTGAGGGAGAACAGAGTTTGTAAAATTATATTTTATAATAAAAAGCAAAAGGGAAATGACATGGATTAGAAACAGGACACTGGCAAAAAAGGGGACACTGATAGAAAAAGGAACATAAATCAGAGATGAAGTACAATTAGAGACTTGACAGTGAAGGAAAGGGAGGGGGGAGGGCTCGTGCTGGATGCATCACTGCAATGCATCTTCTTTGATGGACGAGATTGCTGATGGAATGGCACCCAAAGGAGAGAATACGCCTAAGAGGGTGACTGCCACCGAAATAGAATGATGAGATTAGCTAATGTGCAGTTAGAAGGTTGAATCATGCCAATACACGACCGTGAGAGATGGGGACAGTGTAGGGGGGCCTTCATCTACCAGTGGACAGATCATGATCACTGATGGTGATCATGGGGTGACTCTTAATGGATATTATGTGGGCACTGTGAGCTATTACCAATCGAACTTAAACTCCTGAATTGCATGTAACATCTTTAATGGTTATAACTAATTATACTACTTTCGTGTTATATAGCGTAATTCATGCCAACAGCATCCCACAACTGCACTGATTACCTCTCTTTGTTTACAGCCGCCCCCTCTGCAGACAAATCAATGTTGATATCAATGATCGATATGTTGATGCTGCTAATTATTTGAGGGTTGTTCACGGATCGCCGAATTATAACGTTGAAATTTGGCGTGTTGTCCTTGCAGTTCGAAGCGAAGAGGTAGTTGCAGCTAATGCCGAGGTCAAAAAACTTCCCATCAAATGTTTTGAAGTGATTTTGTCCCCAGGTACTGCAGACAGGGGTCTGTATCGGAGCTGCAGACAAACAACAACAACATCATCAGATGATTGTGCACTACAATGATAAGCGACCTCATCTTCAAACAAGACAGAAGCACAGAAATATAAGCTTTTCAGAAAATGTAATTGTTTTGGAAATGTGTATATGTTCGTTTATAGGTTTAAATGCCTAAATACAAGCAAGTTAACAGAATTGCATAGTACGAACATCACAATGACGGAGATGATATGCAGCAATTAAGGTGGTTACTAAGAGTAAACATTCTAAATATTCTTTCGAACAGCCTTTGGCAATCCACTGCTGCATGAAGATCTCCCCCACGACGTGTCAGTCATGGGTGTTGTTTTAACCATACTTCACCACAATGGTCAGTGCAAGTTGGTGAATGTGGTGAAGGGAGGGAGCATCACCAGTTTAGATATCACTCGCCACTGTTGTTAGCCATGGTCAGAAATCAAACTCAAGTTTCTGGGGTCGTAACACAGTACACGAATCACTGTAGCACCGCTCCTCTATGATAGTAAATATTTTAATCTCAATTCCATAATTTTACGATTTAAAAAAATCACTCTTGTTGCCAAGCAACAACGGCTAAAATGTCCATAATTTTAATGCTGCAGCAGAAATAAGAACAACATGTTAATTGTGGGTGAGCATAACTCACGGATTATTATCGGTGGTGTCACCACGGGAGTTGCTGTTGTAGTTCTTGAAGGAGAATGTGTTGTGAAAAAATCACCAGAACCCCCGTCTTCACCGCTTCCTTCTGTTGTCGGACGAACTGTGCTCAATCCATCATAGTGACCACTGCCAGAACCATCAAATTCACCAAAGCCGTCTGGAGCTGGAGTGTAATGTCCCGATCCTTCAACCGCATCAACATCATTATCATCTTTATCAGAGCTGCTGTCTTCTTTCGCTGGATCGTTCTTGGAGCCTGTACCGGTAGATTCATTGGAGTCCTTCATTTTCTTCTTGCTGCCTTTGCTTGCCGACTCACCAGATTCTTCCTTGGATTCGTGGGATTGCTTGGACTCTTCAGATGAGTGCCCTTTGCCAGGGCCTTTGTTCTTGGGCTTTTTATCTTTTCTACCTTTGCCGGATGGCTCATCAGACTCTTCCTTGGATTCGTGGGATTGCTTGACCTCTTCAGACGAGTCCTCTTTGCCAGGGCCTTTGTTCTTGGGCTTTTTATCTTTTCTACCTTTGCCGGATGGCTCATCAGACTCTTCCTTGGATTCGTGGGATTGCTTGACCTCTTCAGACGAGTCCTCTTTGCCAGGGCCTTTGTTCTTGGGCTTTTTATCTTTTCTACCTTTGCCGGACTGCTCATCAGACTCTTCCTTGGATTCGTGGGGTTCTTTCTTGTTTTTCTCCGAGCTCTGGACCACAAGGTGTGGCTTTGGTGGCACAACTCTAACAGGGGTTGTTGTTGTTCGCGACATGACATAGAGGCTCAACCGCTTTAAATCGGATTCCAATTTATCGGGGTCAATAAAGTCGGATTGAGAACGTGCTTTCTGATATCCCAGTATAGATCGTTTCCCTTGTGCCACAAAAGCTGAAAAAAGTAAATAGGGATAACAATTGTGTTCAGATTTGATAATGAACCAAAATCAGCACTTCACATGAGTCATTTAAATAGATTATTAAGTTTACGTGACTTCAAGCAGTGCCCCTTTAGTGATTGCTTTTCAAGTGAGTGAACTCTAAACAGCATGACATTACCACTTACTGGATAATTAAGTACATTGTATCTTTCTAATTGGCTTTCTGAATAAATTGCTTTGTACATTTTAATCATTGAAAGCTGTGGTTGCTCAAAAAATAATACAAAAATAACTAGCCAGACAATTATTTTTTTAGCAGCGTGTGCTTGAACTGTGACACAGAAAATAGTAAAATACCAATATGCACATTATTTTCTGGTGATGGAAATAGCTAATAAAGATACATGAGTATAACACGTGCTGCATTTATGCTGAGTTAGCTCAAATGTAGTCGTTAAACATACAATAGATATGACCATCATTAGACCTCCTTTCCCAGTACCAAAATATAATAATAGGGGTTTTCCCCTTTTTTCTGGCAACAAAACTGAAACATTTTTACGAGGATTCACGTCTGCATTAACCACAATACTTGCAGTCAAAATGCAAACAAAAAACACACTATGATAAAATATGCATTGTCCTTGAAACTGACCGTGCATATATTATCATAGTGGTTTTTTTGCATTTTGACTGCAAGTATTATGGTTAATGCAGACATGAATCCTTGTAAAAAGGTTTCAGTTTTGTTGCCAGAAAAAAGGGGAAAAACCCTATTATTAAGATATGACCATGTTTACTAAAAACTTTGTGTGTAAAAGTAATTTTTCCGCACACCAGAATTTCACGTGAAACAGGCATTCCTTCGCAGAACTAATTTATAACACACTTTAAGTTAAAAACTTTTGATGATTTCATAAATTAGCATTACCAAGTGTTACATACACAAATACATCATTTGCTCACTTACGTTGTTGAGGAATAAGCTCTTCGGATGATATATCATCTAGAAAAAACAAAATAGCATTGATGTCCATGGTTAATAACATAATCAATACTTTGTCGACAACATTAAATGGGTATGTTATAAATGCAAATGAACAGTAGCAAGTAATGTTTTCTTAATTTTTGTGGCATGTTCTGCAAAATCAAATGTAACCATGAGGATAAACAATGGTGATGCAACTAACTTGAATAATTACAGACCCATTAGCTTCTTGTCACATAAATAAAAGTTTTCATTTCTGCTATTAATTGTTTCTAGCTGCAATTTCCATTCACATTCAAAGTGGAAACACGTGGATCAGGGAATAATCAATATGTTTTAATTTTAAGGAGAGCAAGCAGGATGGGTAGGGCAAGTCTCTTGGAGAGATGATGGTCACTGGTTGAGACTAAGGATGAAATGATAATTCTAGATTTGAAGTTTTCCTGACTGCAAGGATCCATACTCTTTGGTTTTTTTTCTCAGTAAAGTCACGTAGGTGAAAACAAAATGAAGCTTAAATGTAAGTAAAATAAGGAAATAAATAAGGTACCATATAGTGCAATGTGTGGTAGCATATTTGCTTAACTGAACGGTGTTCTGCTAACTAATGTGAACATTGTCTTATTTTTATATTTTGCAAGGGAGATTATTGGGTCAGGGTGGCTCAACAACAGGTGACTTGTGCTCCTCACCTCAACATGTTTCTTCCATATTCTTAGGTTTTTTTCGGTAAAGTCACGTAGGTAAAAAATTAAAATTAATCAAAGTAAAGTAATTTTACAAAAAAACTTTTATTTATTAAAAATTTTAACCTACGTGACTTTACCGAAAAAACCCAAGAATATGAATCCTTGAAGTCACGAAAGCTTCAAATCTAGAATGTTTCTTCCATTCACAAAAATGCCCTCAAAAGCCCACCGTGCTGGTAATGTGGGTATCTGATGCCTGGGTGCGGTCTAAACCATGTTAACTTTTGTTTGTTTCGTCCCCCCGTTAAAACGCAGTTTTATTGAGGTTTTATGGAACCTCAGGAGCAGATTGCAAATCTTGCGGTCAGTCGGGACCTCGAGTTAATACGGTCAGTCGCACAAATCGTTGCACAATTTATTGCGACGGCAAAGCTAAAGGTTTCAACCATGAATTAAAGTATGCACTGCGTGTACACAAAGTTGACATTTGTTGTTTTCATGTTGTGATGGCTTTTCTCGCCATTTACATATTTGAACCAAAGCTGAAATACGATTTTTTAAAAAATAACCTGCAGATAGATATATTTCAATGGGCAGATTGAGCTGGAGAGAACTTGTTCTACCTGCTTAGACTGAACGCCCGATTAACCGTCAGTTATGCAGTGTGAGTGAGCCCTAATCCTGTCAAGGAATCTTCCTCATGTTTCTTGCAAATTCATTATTTAATATATTCTAAAAGCCCCTTTATAGGACGAGCATGGTCTATTTAAAAAAAAGAAAGCACTTGACTGCCTTAAAAAAATCGAATGTATTTCAGTTTTGCCTGCAACACTATGTTGTTAGGTACGTCTCAGATGAGTGAAGAGTCACAATGCTGAGCCCTGCTTGGAGATGGATAAGTGAAACTGTTGAGCCAAGGCATCCATAACCTACTTTTGGCATTGCATTGTGTCAAGGTAAATCCTCAGACAAATATAACCTTTGTAGGTAAGCATCTTGGACATTATTGGAAAAAGTAGTATATGCAAAATGTATTTTCAAGAGTCATTGCTGGAATATGTGATATTACTCATTTAAATGTATCAATGAAATGTGATAATTGTGTGATGTTAGTCATATTGATGCATAAGCCCGCATACTTAATATAATTATTTGTTTAAGGTATACTTTACATTTAACATTATGCAAATTGTATTACCAGGAATTATTTAACAATATCCAGAATAACAATAAAAATAGAAAAAGTACCGGTAAATACTGAAAAATAAAACTGATGGAAACCCAAAACTGTGTTAGTTTTTTTTTATTTTTTCCATTGTTTTAATTATAAATGTATGTATGTACGTATGTATGCCAAGATGTTCATATTAACAAAAATTCTCACATTCTCAATAAGTATAACAATCGCTTTATATATATATACAAAACGCCATTGTTTGAAAAGATAAACTTTGATTAAAAAAATACTGACCGATATTATTCTACCTGCAGAAATTCTAAATTGTAGAGGTATTACACTTACAGTAATTGCTTTTTTTTCATTTGCATTCTAGCAGAAGTTGCATTTTTAAACTTTCTATCAATCGCTATAATCACAATTCAACAATTGCTCAACACCGATTCGGCTCTTTAATTTCCCCACAAATGCAAGTGAACGGTGTTATATACATGAATATAGCAATTGCTAATGTCTGTATTGTTCGGCTGTGAAATCCCACAACTCAAACTGTTAACCGTTGTTACCATTAAAACAAGTAACTTAATCACAATTATGAGAAAGATGTTTACCATGTAAATATTGCAAAAATACGAATTCTCAGATTTGAGACATTTTCTGCCCACCTTCATTTGTGCTGGCAGCTTGGATGAATGAAAGACAACAAACCAGCAAGTAGATTTGCTTCATCTTCTCCGCACCACCGAGGGACTTACTCAAGCCTCTGAGATCACACCCTTTGCCACAGCACTCTGGTGACGGCCGGTCACTGCAAGAGGGTGTTGTGAGCAGAGAAGGAATCCCCTTTATATAGACAGACGGCACATTGTTTTTCAAAAGTTAGATCAGATTACGAACTTGTTGTGCAATTGACGTTAACACATAGCATAATTGGTGGGGGGTTTTCACCATTTGAACATACTAGCTCTGCATACTGATCTTTAGCCGTAGATTATAAAATTGCACTTAAAGGGATATATACATAAACTCATAGGGAAATCGAAAATTACTTTTTTTAAATCAAAGGAAAAGCTGAAATTGGGAACTTTTAACATCTCAACACAAGCTAACAGATTGACAGGGCTGCAGATATGCGTCGATGAATTTCTATGGCATTATGTCTCTATTAACATAGATTTTTTTTCCCATCTAGGCTACAAGGGTTTATGTTTACTGAACTTTTTTTTTACATCCCCCTGTATACAGTCACAATGAATGGACTTGCTAGCATTTTTGAGTTTTTTTGTGTATTCATTCAACAATTCTACGTAAAAATAATGTGCCTTGCACAAGTTTTAGCCGATTTAAATCACGTAATGTTTTGCTACGGAGAACTTTACCATTAAATAAAGAGCACGTCATAACGTGTTTGTTGTCAACCATGGATATTTTTTGTATATTTCTTTCATGATAGAACTGCACCAAACCCTGTTACTCTATTTGTTTAAATACATTCTAATGGGTTTAGCGTAACATTCACATGTTTAACATAACCTTGAAGAAAAAAAATATAAATAATGTGCATGAGTGACTCGTTGGAAAGCGTACTATCAAGCATGCAGTTTATATGCTACTCAGTTTAAAGTATTACACATACGGTAGCTCACACACTTTTAAAGTTAAAGATAAATGTTTAATAAGTAACCTATATTAAACTTTTCATTTAGCCGTGATTTGAAAGTGGATGATGATGATGATTATGATGATGATATTTAATAGGCCATGCTGTCATATCAGCCTTTATGATTACAACAACAACAACGCATTTACATTTTATACAATTCTAATCTCTTTGAGATAGAGGTAACAGAAGCAGAGAGTATTTCACTAAAGATGTGTGCACCGTGAGTCACTGAATATACTTCATATCAAGCACCATGAACATTAATTCATCTTGAAACTAATTCACGAGAATAACTACGTCCAAGTCTGCATTTATGAAGGCTGTTGAGAGTTAATGATAGGTGCAACACAAAAGCGAACTGTCAGGAAAATCAAAACGTAATTGCAGGCAAAGTGCCATCATAGAAAGTTTCTCATTGATTAGCTTCCCCGTTGGTTGGCGTCTCCTGTCAATGGGAATGCAGTACATGCAAGGGATGTTAAAACAAATATATTAATGCGTTCCCCACCTCGTCAATTGTATGAGACCCCTCTCAACCCCCACTCATCTGTTGGCTACTTCCAACACTTTCCTTTCGTCTACCTCAACGCTCCTGGGTTCATTTTTTTACCCATAACCATCCGTGTAATATTCTACCCATAGGCTCTGCAATTAACGCCACGTATGACCTGTAACTTCGGGAATGATGTTTATTGTCAGAATGAGTTCTACAACCATTATATATACGGAGTGGTAGCTCTTGCAATCTCTCATTTACTTGATACAGCTGTCGTGGCTGTGACGGTTCCACCTGAAGACGGAAGCTTGTGTTGCCTCCGAAACGTCGTGATTTTATTTTTTTTATTTTGTTTTACTTTTTTTAATTTTAATGTTTTACCTACGTGACTTTACCGAACAAAAACCTAAGAATAAGAAGGTAACGTGTTTTTCTTGTAGGTATGGCATTTGTATTATGGAACACGAATATGTTGTGTTGATATAGTAACTGAGATATAGTATGCAATGCCCATGATGGCATTTTTACTCCAAAAATTAAAATCTAACACACGCACCCCGTCGTGCAACAAAAAAACAACTTGAAACATCGTGGATCTTGTCCCGCAAAAAGTTCTTGGGAAAGCACTCGTCACAGGGGATGTCTGGCATACTGCAAGTAATTAAATAATGCAAATTCTTCATCATCAATAATGCATCATGGTAAAGCCACTGCTGTATGAAGGCCTCTGTAATATGCCACCATCTCTCATGATCCAGGGATGTAATAATCCAACAAGTACCTGCACATTAGCTGATTTCATCGCTCCATCCCTTTGGTGAGTGCATTATTTTCCTTGGCTTGCCACTGTTATAATTCTTGACCATTGAAGGTCGCACTCATTACACACAAAGTGCTTGCCGCAAACGAACCACAATACCTTGCTGATCTCGTCAAGGAGCATAAAATCATCACGCAAACTCCGGTCGTCCTCGCAGCGGCTTTTGGCTGGCCATCGAAGAAAAACGGTCACTGCATCGCGCACTTTCAGATGCAGTTCTGCAGCAGTCTGGAACGCTCTTCTTTACACTATTCGGAATCCATTGGAGCTATGCACTTTTAAATCTAAATTGAAAACTAATTTTTTAAACTGCTTTTTTAGTTTGATGTCCTTCCCCCACACCTCCAATTAACACGGTTGGCTACATACGGTGCAAAAGAAGTTGAACATACGTACATTTGCCATCATTCCTTCTCATAGCATATCCTGCCCATGCCCACTCTTCTTATCCTACGGATCTTCTAATCCACGTGTTCCACTTTTTTTCTCGCAATGTAATTCCAAGCGTGCATTTCGCCACGTTTCTTTGCACATTTTTAAGTTTTAAGTAATTTATCTTTGTTAAAGACCGTATTTATGAACCATCCAACCATACATGATTATTAAATAAAAATTCAATTTGGAAAAAAATAACACCTGCCGCTAACTAATGTGTAAACACGTAATAACAATTGCTGTAACTAAATATTTATAATTTAATCACAATTAACAGGATAATATCACTTTAGCATATCCACTGTTTAGTTTAAGCCTAGTCATTGATCGTCAACATGAAGCAGAGGTGGAAGGCTGGACTTCACTGGGTGGCCCAACACTGGTGTCTGGTGCGAATGTAAAACTAAAATTGAGAGAGAGCACTTGCAGAGGGAGCACTTGCAGAGGGGGCACTGGCAGAGGGGGCACTGGGAGAGAGAGACCAAAGCACGTCATCAAATACATCTTTGCACGCTGAAAAGACAGCACGCCTGGATAACAGCAACATCTGGATCGCGAGACAGGCAACGGCTGCCTATACCGTTTGGGTAATAGTAATAATGTAATTTTGTGGTGATAATTGACATTTCTATTTTAATTCATTGCTGGATTAATGCCCCCCCCCTCCCCCCGCATCGTGTCAACTGTTGAGGTTGTTTGGCCATACTTCCACACGCTGGCCTCGACCAGGAAAGTAACTGAGACGTGCAGGTTCATCACCCGGTGATAACCCCACTTACTCCAACCCCCCTGGCCCACCCATCTCCTTTTCCATTGTGAAATAATTGCTTGATAAATACTTCCTCGTGCCATGTCCATCATGGGGCTTGTGTGCAGAAGGTTCGTGAATGACGTTCCTGTGCAGTTGGAGGCAGTCGCCCTCCAGCAACAACGGAGGAGAGAGGAGCGACGCTCACAACAACGAGCGCCGGGCGCCTAAAGCACAGCAAGTTGGCACAGTAGGGGGCACAGGTTGTGCAACAGCCAGTCGTCTCAGTCAATCAACCCCATGGTACCTGGGTCTCTCTCGTGACCTCCTGCCAGCGGGCGTTCGACACTTCACGTGTCCTTAAAGTGCACATAGCCTGGCACAAGCGCCGTGGTGATGTCACCGCCACTTCGTGGCGACTGGCGGCTGTTGTTGTAAAGCATGCTGTAGCACACTCGTTCATGCAGGTTGATAGGGTGGAGTTCAGGACCAGTTCAGATATCATTCCCCAATGACGTGATCAGTGGCCAGGTATCAAACTAAGATCGGCTGGTTCTAAGTGCAGTGTGTTAACCCACCGCGCATTTATTTCTGGACCAAAAAAATACGTTTTGCTGTGTATTTAATTTAAACAAACTCTGCTAAATGGCATTGAATGGACACCAAGCTCCTAATTCAAGATGAGAACCGGATCTGTTGGAAATGTACTCTCGTTGTAATGCATTGTGTTGCAATAGAATGGTGTGCTGTTATTGTCTTCGCTCATTTGTATAATTTCACAATCCAACAATTGCAGCTATGTCTTTATTCATTAGAGTTAAATACATATGCAAAACTAGCGAGTCTGTTTTGCACCACAAGTGAACGACCCTTTGTTCGGTATGCCCTTGCGTGAGTCAGCTTAAGAATGCCATTCGGTATTGTTTAATGGAAAATACAACCTCACATTTTTTAAGATAACATTTGAGATGCCATGAGCCATGGAGGGCTACGCCTATGAACACATATATATATATATTTTAAATGAAGCATCAGCAATTTTGGCTTTTCGTAGGCATTGCTTCACAATCAGATTACTTTGAACCACACACGTATCTGGAATGCAATGGGCAGTATAATCGTGAAAAACTGGTAAATGTGCATGAGTAGGCGTTTGCACCGTGGCTCAACACAATTGTATCCTGATGAACTCTTCCGGGGAATTATCTGACCCTACAAAGTAGGGATTTCAAATGCAAGCCTTACCTGACAGCTAATGCTTTTAATATATTGTATCAGAGGATAATGCAATAGAGTTACGTGAATATAGCAAGCTTAATAGTTGGTGAGTCCAATTCCAATAAAACTCTTGAGCTGAAGCTAAAACGTCCGTGAACCTCTTAACAAGAGTATCAAACACATAATTCATTTAGTGGACTACACATACAGTCGCTTCGACACGACACCAAATTCACATTGACAACACTGAGTCCCTTTTAGGTATATAATGCACAATGGTACTATTTTGCATAAACCTGAAACCTCGTCTTACCACTGCACGTCAATGCCCAATGTCTTCAGAATAATCGTTTCGAGTTATTTCACAATGTGAACTTACTTAGCTGCCAATACCCTCCCAGGAGAACATGCGCACGGACAAAAGCCTT